AGGCTCTGATTTTTAGCTTGTCTGGCATCTTCAATGGTGAGTACATTTTGAGAGAAGTGACAAGACAGGAAAAGAAAGGGCTTGGGTCTCCGCAGATAATAATTTGGGGAAAAAAGGGCAAATGACTATAGACAAAGTCTAGTTAGTGATGCTAGACTGCTTAAATTCCCCAGCTCCAGCTCCAGGCCCATAAAGGTCTTGAACTACTTGAATGGTTAACCCTTGTTCTCCAGTGAAAAGTTCAAGGCAGGAGACATTTTGTCTTTGGCATCAATGTCCTTGGGAGAACTGAGAAGCGGTGCTGAGAGCTCAGTTGTATACCTTTCTTCCTCCATTCTTTCTCTGTGCTGGGTCTCTCATATTGGCAAACTTTGGTTGTTCCTTGATTGGTGCCTGTGTAGTCTCCACCTTCATTGTCATACCATGTTTCCCTCAAGCTACCCGGTCTTTGCAGAACTCTCTTCTATCAGAACACCAGTCACATTGGATCAGAGTGCCTAAGCACTTTATCTCAACCATGGACATTGGGGGTGACCTTGCATCCCATTGTGGTTACATTCTTTGGACTGCTGGTTAGGTCTTTGGCATAGGGACGATGCAGTCCAGGTCACACTGCCTGCCTCTTATAGGATACTTCATAAAGCCCCATAGAAACCAGATCCAAAAAACTAAGCCTCAGAGACAACTCTAAGAATCAAGGGCTCTCAGGGAGCCAGGGAGAAATGGTCATACTCTGTGCACAATGTCAAGATTCTGTGCTGGGTCACGAAGCCTTGTGGCGCTGGGGAAATGGAGCCAACTGCAAAAACAGAACAGCTCAAACTTGTAAAGTTAAGGCTTTTTGTTCAATTCTTCCCATAAGAAAGGATCTTCAAAAATCAAAGGAAGTGTCCTAGAAGAGGCCCTGAAATAAAATACAGACACACGAGGCAGGCAGCGTGACCTGGACTGCATCATCCCTATGCCAAAGACCTAACCAGCTTTATGAAGTGATGTGTGATGTGGCCGGGCCTCTCCTTGAGAATGTGTTTGCAGCTGCTGCCATCTTTACTCTGGAGCATTTGGCTCTAAATACGTTTTGTGTCAACAGAGTTGGCACCCTATGTTTCTCTTTTATTCATCCTTTGAATACAAAGGTTCAATTTATTGCAAGCCTGGTAACCATTCCATGAATAAACAGGTGCAGCCCTGTTTGGTAAGAAAAGGACAGATTGGCCTGCCAGTCTGACAGCAGAAAACGCCCTGGGGGCAATTTGGCCATGTCACTGTCTTCGGGGCACCATGCTCTGTGGCTAGCCAAGGGGTAATTTTAGATAAGCAAGGCAAATTGTACTGGGATAAATTGTTAGGCCAGGATAGTAATTTGAAGAAAAGAATAACGGGATGGACTAGTCTCTGTTGTGTGAACTTATGCAAGCTTCTTAAGCATCTCTGGTCGTCACCCAAGCATAGGGTTTAAGTGTCTGCTTTATGTTTGTCGTGGGGATTGGAAATGTTCCCAGCACAGCTCCAAGCACACAGCAGCTAACTGTCCTTCTTTATTATAAAGAATCCCTATTGTTTTCTCACTTTATTCTTTTCATTACTTTATTTCTCAATGGGTTTCAGCATCATTTTTCTTTTGAGAGTGTCTAAAGGTCAGATCTGAGAAAATGGAAGAAGCTAAGTATTCATAGGAACGTAGATGGAACTTGGATCAAGCATGATGTTGAAAAATGGCTCCTGTGGAGTCCTCATGGGATGTTCCACATTGACCCTATGTTGGGTACTAAGAAAATGACCTCAGCTAAGAACCAATTAATGATTTGGTCGGAAAGACACTTAACACTTCAATGAAACAGGCAATCAAAATAGCTTTGGCTTAAACATCAACATTCCTAAAATAACACTTCACTATGAAATTCCTCAGAATCCACACCCACCCAGGACCCAAGACTTGCTTGCTGACTTCATTCTAATTTTTCAGGCAACTGAAAATGAAACAAAATGTTGGTTGGCCACTTAATTGTCCTTTAAAATCAAGGGGTCTTATTAAGCCAGATGCTGACTCCTACTCTGAGAGTGGGCTACGGACTGAGAATCTCCATCTCTGTAAATTCCAGGAGATTGCCACGGAGTTGACCCAGGAACACATCTTGAGAACCACTGAGATAGTGTTCCCTAACCCCCAGCCCAGGAAAAGTTCTGTAGAGCACAGGACATTTGGAGGTGGCTTTATCAACAATCTTCTTTATCAACAAAGTTCTTTTAAACAAACAGTCCCTCTGAGATTGAGCATTTCCCATTGTAATTATGTGTGTGTGTGTGGGGGGGGGTGGACATGACTTTAGGTGCCTGTGGAGGCTAGCGGTATTGGATTCCCTGGAACTAGAGTTACAGATGTTTGTGAGCCACCTGATTTGTGTGCTGGGAACTGAACTTGGGTCCTCTGGAAGAGTAGGTGCTCTTACCTGCTGAAGTATCCAACTCCCTCTTTTTGAAAATGAAAATCATCAAAACTACCTTATTAAGATCACTGAAGAAGTGTAATACATTTGTAAGTTCTTTTGTTCATTATCTAGCATGTGTTAATGAAAATATGAATCTGGTAATTTATTTTACAGTGAGTTTTTAGAAATCATATAAATGTTGCTGGGTGGCCAAGTCTTATCAAGTAAATCCTACACTATTGCTCATTTAAGTCACTAAAGCATTTGTCGATATTTCACTAGAATTCTGCTTCAGAAGTCCCATGTTCTGGGCTTGGGCTTTACCTCAATGGTAATGCACTTGGTTGTAATGTGTGAGGCTATGGGGTTTGACTCCTGCACAGCAAAACAAACAGCTAAATAAAAATCAGATTTCCAAGGTTTCTTTAAAGTTGGCAGATGCGTGTGTTGGAGAGGGAGAGGAGAGGAACCCTTTTATTATGTAAGTCCCCCCTCCCATCTCTCACTAGAATTGCATGATGTGTTAAAAATTTTATCCTCATCTAATTTTGTAGAGGGCAGCACAGAGGTCATAGCAAGGGTGTAAACCCTGAATCTTTGTAATATATGAGCATTCAGCATCTGGGCCATAATAATGTCTTCTTGTACTCAAAAACAGCCGTGTTAAGTATCTTCATGGCATAGGATCACACAAATAGAACATCATAAGCATGTAACCCAGCACCTGATTCCCAAAAATAAAATTCAGTATATCTAAAGTAGATCTTACTCATTTTAAAATGTCACCTTAGGTGATGCAGAGACATATTTCCAGAAATGCAAAGGACATTAGAAAGGAAAAGACTGCACACAAACTCAGATCTGAGGCTTAACTAGCTGAGTTGGTAGTAGCAAATTCTACGATCTTCTTAAGTGCTGCTGCATAGATGATCATGCTTAGCATGGGGCTGCCCTAGAGTAGTTAACATACGTAAGGTGCCTAACATCGGGAATGTAAGCAGTCCTTCCAGAACATCAAACAATGGAGGTGGGTGGCCAAGGAAGCACAAGAGATCTGCAGTAGAAGTGGCAGTAATGAAATGAAGCCAATTGGCTCTGCCAATTTATAAAGCTTATTGAGCATCCAGGAAAGAAAATCCTCAGGATTACACTGAAGTGACTGATTAGATCGCTGTTGTCTTTAGATCTAGCACATTCTAACTCAGTTAGCTTAAATTTTTTTATTGGGGGTACTTTAAACAGTGTTTGACAAGATTGAAACAAATCATTCCATCTGATCTATTGAGTCAGCAGCCTCTCATTCCTGCTGTGCCACTACATTAATTTTCCATCCACTTTAATGTGACAAGATAATGTCCTTTCATGAAAATATTAGACACTTTAGAAGAGCGTAAATGTGACCAAATTAGCTCACAACAAAACAGGCAACACCATTCAGTAAAAGGGTAGAAAGCCCTGTTTAAAAAGAAAATGTTAAATGTTGCTACTATTAGCACGGATTTCTATTTGAAAGGTCAGAATATACTATATAAGGAAGTGTTAACTGAATTTTCTCAACACCTTTTGGCTTTCGTCTAGTTTCTTCAGCAATTTAGAATATTCTATTTTTTTAACAGTATGTTCTTTCCCATTTTACAATCCTGTTTCTAATTTATGTGCTTAAAATTACTAATGTGGCTATTTAAAAAAAAAATCTATGCTATTCTTAAAGCTCCATGATGCCAGAAGTTCTCAGGAAAAACACAGACCACTTGCACATCTGTTAAGCAGAGCATAAGAGCTGACAATCTTAATAGTGTTTCACTAATTCCTTAGAGTGGCATTCCCCAGGGACAGTGGTCAACATTAAATAAACCATCCCAGAAGCTCCCAACCACAACTGCTTCTGTTTGAGATGTGATGAGGCCTTTAGTGAGGATTCTCATTGGGAAATACATACAGTGGGTGAGGAAAACTGATGCTCCTATTGTTTGCATATAGGTACCTTAAGGCCTGTACTTTTCAGGGTCACTGGTGTTGAAACAGCTCATTGCCCTAGAGAAGCAGGGTTTCATGTGTGCACTTTGTTACACACAAGGAAACTGGCTCCAGGGAGGGCTCTTGCTGCAGGTAGTAGAAGCCTTGTTGCTTGTGTGTTGAGGTGTGGGAAAACTCTTGCACTGTGCCTGGAACACAAGAAGCCAGATGCCACAGATGCGCACTAGGGCTGGAGAAATGGCTCAGCAGTTAAGAGCACTTGCTGCTCTTCCAGAGGACCTGGAATGTTCTGCTGTGTAGCGCTAACAAATTAAAAAGTGTTTGCTTTGGGTACTTAAACATGCAAACACAGAACAGCTGGAATCTTCCCCAACTGTGCTGCACAGTATCCCTGATAGAGCACGCTGCCTGTGGGCTGTGACAACAAAGAGCAATTAATTAGTCACACACTGAGCCTCTGGGGGCAGTGGAATTTTCAAAAATATAAATGCTTCTAGGTGATTCCAATAATGACCTTGTGAGATAAACGTTTAGTATTTTTAAATGTGATAGAAATAAAGGTGTGGTTTTGAACTAGTGGAACTTTCCCTGTAGGTTGGATCTCGAGGAACCATAAGAGATTACCCGGGCTTTAGCCGGGCAGTGGATGCTGAAGCTATCCGGAAAGCCATCAGAGGAATCGGTGAGTGAAGTTTTGCAATCCCTTTGTCAGTGTTGAAGCAAGCCAGGAAAGTTCCCGAATAAAAAGCCAGTTGGCCCAATTTTAATTCTGAATTAGAGAAGTTTTCAGGGGACATTTTAAAGTGTGAAGTGGTGAAAAGTGCATGGGAAGCCAGTTTTAATAAACGTTTACTTAATTCAAACCGAACACCACCACATCTCCTTTGAACAGTCATCACCGTTATAACCACAAATCATTACAGATAGAGTCCCTGGCCATTCTTCCTAGGTTTTATTTCGCCCCATTACCTAGAGAAAATCACCTTCCTAAATTAGACTTTACGCTTGTGGACTTTCAATACCTCAGCTCAATACATGGAAGTGTATGTTCTGTTTTCTGTAGTTTCAACCTGGTAAAGCTGGAGAAGTGTATTATATTCCCTTCTGCCATTTGTTTTTATCTCTTAGCATAATGTTTTTGAGATTTATTCCTGTTGATATGTTTAGCTCTAGATCATTAATTTTAACTGCAGGGAAATCTATTGTATATTATATCATAAAATAGGAATGTTGATGAAACATTCAATTTGCCTATAACTCTTTTGTATTACAGCATAAAAGTCCTTGGTGAACTTTCCTGCTTTAACTCCACTGTGCACATTTGCTAGTATTTCTCTAGGACATGACAAAAGTTGTGTTTTCTGGGTGGGAATTTCCAGAATGCTTTCTTTTAAATTAACTGGAAATTTTGCAAAATTTTTCCCCAAAATGGTTGTAAGAGTTAGTAGTACTCTTGGGGCTGGTGAGGAAGGTTAGAAAGTAATTGTTAACACAAGCTCAACATCCCAGAAACCACAGTTGAAGGAGAGAACTGATGTGATAAAGTTGACAAGTTGACCTCTAATCTCCATGTCCATGCTGTGGTGTGCCCCATCGTACTAGTAGTAGCAGTAGTAGTAGTAGAGTACTCCTTCCACAATGCTTGAGGCTTTCTCTGCATCCGTATTCCAAACTCTGATTAACACAGGCTGCAGACATGTCATTCAGTTTTTCCCATTGACGAGGTCTAAAGCTGTATGACAGCCCCCCTTCCCTATCTTTAAATACTGATATAATCACGCATCATTTTTTCTTTTTGTTTCCTCTTTCATGTATGACTAGCCCTTTTCAGTTGCATTGTCTTCTTTGGGATTCCCAGAGAGGTTTCATTGTTTTCTTGTCACTGATTTCCATGTACAGACTGTCTAAATAAAACCTCAAATAATGAAAATACCCTCCTCTTCCTAGTCCGTGGCCAAAAACCAACCAACCAAACAAACAAACAAAGTATTGGGTTAATGTTTATTTTTTCCAGTTTTATATTTTAGCAAAATCAAGCTTAGTAATAGTTTTCCTAGGATTCGTGCCTATTGCACCTTTTTTATTTGGTTGGTTTTTTGAGATAGGGTTTCTCTGTGTGGCCCTGGCTGTCCTGGAACTCACTCAGTAGACCAAGCCAGCCTCAGACTCACAGAGCTCTACCTACCTCTGCCTCCTGATTTCTAGGATTAAAGGCGAGTGTAATTACCACCCAGTTTACTGTATTTTTTTTTAAAATAGTAAAGTCATAAAGCTATTCTGCATTTTCCTCCCAGGTTTAGAAATTTTCTTTCTAAGTTGATCATCAACTACATGGCATTGGTACTTAGAGATAACTAATGTCATTCTGTCTTGTGGGTATTTGTCTAAGCAGAGTTCTGGAAGAGCTCACCGTCTCCTATCTGCTACATGAACCACTTTGCTGAGTTTCCTGTTCATCTGTCTGTTCCCCATCCAATACCCTTGTCACAGTTACTCCAACTTTCAGTGACTCCTCATGTTGGGGGATTGTTTCTGCTCTTTGTTTGTTTGTTGGCTTGTAGGGAGACTCTTCCCCTTCCAGTGTGACTTTCAGGCCATCCTGTGTAATTCTGTAAAATATGCTGCTAAGAGTTTAAGTCAGCATCATCTCTTCTTTATTATTTAAAAAAATTCACCTAACATACCAACCCCAGTTCCCCCTCCCTTCTCTCACTTCCCACCTCACCCCCATCACACCCGTCCACTCCTCAGAGGGGTTAAGGCCTTCCTTGGAGAGTCAACAAAGTCTGGCAAACCAAGTTGAGGCAGGACCAAACCCCTCCCCCTGTATCGAGGGTGAGCAAGGCATCCCACCATAGGGAATGGGCTCCAAAAAGCCAGTTCGTGCACCCAGGATAAGTCCTTGTCCCATTGCCAGGGGTCCCACAAACAGATCAAGCCACACCACTGTCACCCACATTCAGAGTGCCTAGTTCTGTCCCATGCAGGTTCCCCAGCTGTCAGTTCAGAGTTTGGGAGCTCTCACTACTCAGGTTAGCTGTCTCTATGGTTTTCCCCATCATGATGTTGACCCCCTCCACTCTCTTATACAAGACAGGTTTTTTAAATGAAACTATGTTTTCACTTTTACACTTTGTGGTTAATATTTTAATATTTGTTCCTTTTGAAAATTTTTGTACATTTTGTTACTGATGTAATTATGTCACTTTTCCTTTCTCTGTCCTCCTCCCAAGGTGATCTGATGTCCTCTTCTGGCCTCTGTGGATACCTGCACATGTATGTGCACACAGAGACATTAGGAAAGCATATAAATTATCTACAAGTAAAGAATTAAGAGTAAGGCAACAGAGGACATGCAGAGCAGAGCAGAGTGCTACAGCACAGGGAATAGGGACAGAGAATAGTTCCTAATATTTTTGAGACCAGGGGACATGTATTCCGGGGTGGCCTTGAACTCACTCTGATAGAAGAATGACCTCGAATTTCTGATCTTCCCCAATCTGCCTCCTGAGTGCCGGGATTACAGGTGTGAGTTCCCATTCCTGGTTTATGGGCTTCCTGAATACCAGGCAAAATGGTCCATCCCCAACCCTGGCTCTTAAGGGTTGTTTGTTTTTGTTGTTTTGGATAGCTCTATCCATAGTCCTGTCATTGATGGGGGAACAGAGTAAAAATAAGCCAGAGATGAAATCCAGCACGTGGACCTGCTGGAATATGGAGAGACACAGTTCAGCTGTGCATTGGCCCTGATGCTGTTACAGGTCCAAGTTGGTTACCAGACTCACAGGGCAAGTAGGCTGCCATCTGATTCTGCTGACTGTAGAGAAATACAAGATCAAAGGCGAGCAGGCAGCATCTTTCACTGGGACACCAACAGGCGACCAAGCACTCAGGTTCTTTCCCCCTCCACAGATTTAGGCTGTGCAGTTCAGTCACATAGGCAGTGTATGGGTGTTACCTCAGCACAAAGAAACCTAGCCTTGAATCCCAATTCATCTACATATCATTCTAGTCATGTTTACCCAAGGCCTGCAAGCCTCCTCTGTGCTTCCCAGCCCAGTACAGTCCTCTCCATTCAACGAAGTAGACACAGCTTCCCACGGTCATCCTGATACTCTCATTACAAACATTTAGTGCTATGGAGGACAATGTCAGACAAGCTGGCTTCAATCCTGGCCTGATCTTACCTTTCACTTACAAATATATGCTTGTGAAATGCACCCTAGCAGTGTGAGGTGCTAGATCTGTGTTAGCCAGACTTTGTATTGCTGTAAACTACCTGTGTTGACAAGATTTATTTCGGCTCGTGGTTTCCAGAAGGTTCAGTCTGTGGTACTTGCCTTAACTGACTCTGGGCCTGCGATTAGGCAGAGCATCATGTGGCAGACTACTTACCTCAGCAGAGAGAGAGAGAGAGAGAGAGAGAGAGAGAGAGAGAGAGAGACCCACCTTTAAAGGAATGTTCCTATTGACCTGCATCCTCTAGATCCCACCCCCTGAGATGTCTTTCATTTTCTGAAATGACAACACCAGCTGGGGACCACGTATTACACACAGGTGTGAAGGGGCACATTTCATATTCAAACAAGGAAACCCTTGTTTGGGGATGAGAGATTTGTTACATTGCTTAGAAGCTTTGTGACTGTGACAAACGAAATAAGCCCTCTGAGGGCTAATGTCATCTTTAGGGTAGTTTTATCTATCCACGGTATAGGGACCCTGTAACTCTTGGCTATCACAAGGAGTAAAGCAAGCACGTTACAGAAGGTTCTCAATAAGTCTTCCATTCCTGTGTTCCTGCCCTTGAGAGGATAGAAGACTTGATGCCCGCTATGGAGTGAGAGCTGAAATTCGGTAAGAGCCACTCAGCCTCCTGAGGGTGAAGCAGGGGTTTCTTCGTACCCCTCTCTGCATGATAGGAGGAGACAAGGACTAGTTGGGGCTTTTATTTCCCCATCCCCCAAATCATCCAAATAGCTAACTTCTTTTTCAAAACCAAAACAGCAAACAAACAAAAACAAAAACCAGGCAAACACACAAATTCTCACCCAGCAAGAAGCTGTGAACTGAAAATTAAAATGCCTTACTGTCTGCACTCGTTTCAGATGACCGATCTGTTGTTCGACACAGACACGGAGAACCCTTGGTTGATAAATAACTCTGGTCTCATTTAGGAACTGATGAGAAAACCCTCATTGGCATTCTGACAGAGCGGTCGAATGCGCAGCGGCAGCTGATTGTCCAGGAGTATCAAGCCAAGTATAAACAGGTACCTCCAATGAGCACCGTGGGCCCTGAAGAGACAATCACCAGCCTTGGTGCTTCCTCTGTGGCCACTCACAGATCTTTGTTTCAGACTGAGTGCAGCAGAAGGTGCCCTGTGCATCCACTCAAGAACCAGGGCTGTCAGTCCTGGTTTTGCATTTCAGCATCTCAATGCCTTTGGGGCTTCTGTTTCATCATTGTGGAATGAAGAATGTTGCCTTAGAGCAGTGGTCCTCAGCCTGTGGGTCAAAGGGTCAAATGACCATTTCACAGGGGTCACATGGATATCCTGCACATCACATATTTACATTAAGATTCATGAAAGCAGCAAAATTATAGTTATGAAGCAGGAATGAAAATAGTGTTATGGTTGGGGGTCACCACAACATGAGGAACCATATTTAAGGCTTGCCACACTAGGAAGGTTGAGAACCACAGCTCCAGAGCAATGGTTCCAAATCAGCAAGAAGGCATCCCCTCCCCATAGGACACTTAGCATAAAGGGAGATTCATTTTTTCTTTTTGAGACAGGGTCTCATGTAGCACAGGCTAGCCTGGAGCTTACAAAGTAGATGGAGGTTATCTTGACTTCTGATCCTCTTGTGTTCAACACTAATGTGTTGGGATTACAGCTGGGAGTCACTAGGCCTAGGTTATGTGGTACTGGGGAATCAAGGCTGGGTCTTCATGAGTACTAGGCAAGTACTCTACCATCTGAGACACGTCCTCAGCCTGAACAGAGACATTCTGATGACTCCATATCAGACTCGGGGTGGAAGGTCATTCTAATTTCCAGAGGTTAGAGATGCTGTTACGAGTATATAGTATGAAGGGCAGCTCCCCCAACAAAGAAATACAGCTATCTGGCAAAAGATTGCCGTAGATGATCTTTAACTTCTGTTTTAATTTTAAAAGTCATGTAAGTATAGGTTCAGTAAATTCAGCAGATGGAAACCCACAAGTATCTGAAAATAAATGCATAAGAATAAGACAGCCACACATTATGTTTGTCATCTATTTTTGAGTGGTACTCTCTGTCAGAGATCACGGGTGGGAGAGGCAGCTCTCACTTCTCTTGTGGAGCTGGCACCCTAACAGAAAGATGGTAAGTAAAGAAGATCAGCCATGTGATAAAGATGAATGGGGTGACATGATGGAGGGTGGCTGGTGACTGGCTCCCTTGATGGGGTAAGAAGTAGTGTTAGTGGGATGCTGCCGCCAGGCTGGCAGCTAGGACAGTTGGTGCCGCAGTCTGACCTGCTCAATCTACAGATGACTACTTCAGGCAGAGAGGAGAACAGGAGTGGCCGGGAATGTGAGGGAGACAGAACTCTGAACCCCAACATAGCAGGATGTGGACTTGGTGGGGCAAAGGAGACAGCATTGTAAGGTTGGAGCTTTTGAAAAATTTTCAGGTGCTGCTATGGTTTTCAGGCTAGGTCACATGATCTTGGGGGGGGGTCTAGGTTATGTAGGTGTGCATCGCCACACTTGACTACTAAACATTTGTATTTGTGGATTTTGAGATGGGATTTTGCCACGCTGCCAGTCTGGTCTTGAGCACTTGTATTCAAACAATCCTCCTACTGCAGTCTTTCCTACCCAGGGCTGAGACCACAGATGCATGCCACAGGGCTCAGCTTTATTGCTAAGAGCTGGTGCATAGTCTTGATTTTATTCTACAATAGGGAGCCATTGGAAGTATGTAAGCAGGGGAATAATATAGCCGAATTTTAGTCTTAAAAGATTGTTTGGGGACCTGGAAGTTTAGTTTAATGGTAGAGCACTTGCCTGGCACTTCTGAGGCTCTGTGTTCCACCCACACAATTACAAAGAAGGTGGAAAGGTTATTCTGGATGCTGTGGGTCATGAATATGGAAAGGAAGGAGTACAAACAGAGTAGTCAGGCTGTTGACCATCAGAGTCAACTCTGGCATCATCCGAGAGTGCTCTCCGGTACCCCAGTACTCCTTTCTCAGACACCCTTTATCACACACTCATACTATACATACTGTGCAATGAAACTGAAATTCATCTTTGAATACTTTCATTTTCCTGTTAGGGTGGGCATATTAGGCATAAGCATTATATCACGGCTACCTTTAAATGTCTAGCATTGATTGGGCACTTTTGAGCATGTATTGAAATGAATGAGCCACCAAGCATCTGGGCAAAAAGCCCTCACGTGGAAGTAGGTGGCATGGAAGGTCCATTGGCCTTTCAGAGTACTGTAAAATGTGGAGGAAGAATCAACCAAGGCAAAGGGCAACAACCACTTCTCATGGTGCAATGGAATGAGAGCGTGTGGAGTAAGATTTGCCTTTGGGTTGGGGACAGATGGTGTCAGAACTTGGCACTTAAAGAGGAACACACTGCTGCAGTTAAAGCAGACCGGGTAATACTTGGCTCCATCTCATGACCCCACTGCTCCATGTCAATCCTTTGAATACTGGACGTAGAAACCATGTCTCTGCCTTGGGGCGGGGGAGACAAACTTCTCATATAATGTATGGAAACAGTGCCAAAGGACAGTAGTCTCTGAGAAGCAGGGTACTCAGGAACAGTTTGCCAGAAAGACCCCTCTCCCTTTCGGCCTTCTCCTGTTTTGGAGATCAACAAGGACCTAGGAAATGCCTTCATTCGATTTTTCTAGTTATCGGTTACTATTTTAATCATCCATATTTTGTGGGTATGGAGCAGTCATTTGGTACATGCGTGCAACATGTAATGTGCTTAGAGGAATGACATTTCTATGTGCAGCCCCAAACTCTAATACACTTGGCAAGCTTCCTCGGGGCTTTGCAAAGGTCTGTGTAAGGTAGGACATTGTGGAAACATCATAAAATGAAGATTAATGCCCACTGATACATTCTCGGCATCCTCGCTATTCCCTGTGGATGGACATGCTTTCACTTGAGGTTTATGCTTGGGTTTCCCTTTCCCTAGGTGGTTGTTGAGAAAGAGAAAAGAACATATCTCATGATTTCCTCCTTGGGGGTTTTTATTTTAGGAGCTGAAAGATGACTTGAAGGGTGATCTCTCTGGATACTTTGAGCACGTCATGGTGGCTCTTGTGACTGCACCAGCCCTGTTTGATGCCAAACAGCTGAAGAAATCCATGAAGGTACAAGAAGCCCTAAAGCAACTGACTCTCCCCAGGTTTCACTCATTAGGGAACTCTTAGAGCACTCACCTGAGACTTAGTGGGCATAGATGCCATTTTATTGTGTTCTTTAAAGGGCGGAATGATTATGGGGAGCTCTGTGCAGCCCTGAGTCCAAATGCCCCTGGGCTGCAAGGACAGCTACATTCTCCTTCTTTTTCCTTTCCTTTTTATTTCCTTCCTTCCTCCCTCCTTTCAATCTGTAACATGAATAAATAAAAGATCCAGAGACTGATATTGGGGTTCAAACTTCAAGCTGAATATCAGAAAAGCAAAGCAGCCGGCCACTAGCTTCTTACCTCTAGCTCAAGCTGAAAGGTCTGACCCTGTCTCCACAAGCTCTCACCAAACCTCAGACTGTAACCTCTCCTCAGTGTGGCTGGAGAATGAATTCCTCTCTGAGACCTTGCTTCTGTCTTGTATACTTCCCTAATGTTGGGATTAAAGGTGTGAGCTATGATTCTCTGTTAGACTGGTTCACTCTTGTGTACCCCTGAGTGGCCTTAGGCTCACAGAAATCCATCTATCTCTTAATCCTGAGTCCTAGGATTAAAGGTGTGCACCACCACCTCCTAGCTTCTGGCTGCTGGGATTAAAGGTGTGTGGCCTGGCTTCTATAGCTTGTGGCTGACTTTGCTTTTCTGAACCCTCAGTCAAACTTTAATAAACCATAAATAAGATATCACTACACTTTCTTTTCTAAATATTCAGTTTGTCTTTTTCTTTCATTGAACATAAATACTGTCATCCATCCATGACTTAGTCCCTATGATATGTATATTTTTAGCCCCCTGCTTTCTTTAACCCTTCAGAACCCTCACACCTTTCACTAGGTCCACCTGCATTTTGCTATGAAGTCTACCGCAGCAAGCCCATCGCAGACAGCGGCAGATAGAAGCCGCTGTCTCCCTCCGTGCTCCCACTCTGCGGTGCTCACCTGTGTGTGCCTCCTGGTTACACTGCTGTCGGCACCCTGAGCAGGTCCCTTCAGCTCCATTCTGCCCATTTGAAACTATTCTCTATGAGTGGGCAAAGTTACTTTTAAAAAGATGGGATTTTTTTTCATTTCTTTTATAAAATGATCCTTTAATGATTTTATTGCTCGAGATCGCATGGAGCAATATGGGTATATTTCTTTTCTTTTTTTTATTTAATTTATTATTTTACATGTGGATCCCAGTTCCCTCTCCCTCTTCCCCTCTCCTCCTCCCTCCCTTCCTCCCAGCCTCTCTCCCTCCTTCCCTCCCTTTTATCCTCTCTGCCCTCTCACATGCACCCTAAACACCCTCCCCTCCCATCCTCCACCCCAATTCCATATGTAGGGCAATGCCATCTAGTTGGGGTCATGTAGATCTGACAGGTCATGTGAAGTAGGGACTAGGGCTTCTCTCCTGTCTCTGGTGCACAAAAGGACCTTGCGAACACATCCCTCATAAAAAGATGTTTTAAAGCTAGTCAATGTAACCGTCAACCTAAATCTCCAGTGAACACTTAAACCCAGATGTGTTATGACTTCCTCACCCAAGTCTGCCTCTTGGCTGCCTGTGATTCTTTTGAAAACCTTGCCAGGAAGCATTCCCCTGAGAAACAGAGCCATTAGGCAGAACATTATATTAAGAAATGTACTGTAAGGCACTGGGTATAACTTGTGAGCCTGAGTGGTAAAGACTAGACTCTGCAGGGCAGGTGGTCAGGGTAGGCTAGAACCCTCATTAGTCTCCGAAGCTGCTAGCCATAGGTACAGCGTCTTCAGCGAGGCCTTGGCTTGCCCTTAAGGCCTTTTTGCAGAATGAGCCAGGCCCAGTCAGAATGCAGTATCTGAAGTGTGTCTCCTTTAAATCAATTGATAATGGACTTTATTCATAAAATACCTGCACACATGCTAGCATCTGTCTGGATAAGCAGGGACTGCAGCCTGACCAAGCTGCCACATCTATCTGGCCATCACACCCCTTTCCCATCCCCATGCATGTTGCTGGCTTCACTGGCCCTGCAAGCATCTGTGTTTGGGACTCCTGATCCATGGTGTTCCATCTGGATGCCTTCTCCTTGGATAGTTCCTATTTATTAATTTACTCAATTTTATTGTTATTGTCTTTTGTTTAAATTTCATTTGTGCTTACTTTATGCTCAGTTTATCCCCATGCTGGAAGTTTTGGGTTGGATTTTTGTTGTTTTTGTTTTTGGAGACAGGATTTGTCTGTGTAACAACCCTGGCTGTCCTGAAACTTGCTTTGTAGACCTGGTTGGCCTTAAACTCACAGAGATCCACTCACCTCTGCCTTCTGAGTGCTGGGATTAAAGATGTGCGCTACCACCCGGCCTTGTTTTGTTTTGTTTTTCTGAGATACCTTTTTCTTCTGTGCTGCCTCGTTTTCTAGCGTAGAGACAGTTAGTTCATCTTTAGTGGGGATCATCTCCATGCAGGTAGCTCAGGTAGAAGCTAACCTGACCCTGTGAACTCAGAGAGTACGAGGAATCTGGGTGGTTTATATGTTGATGGTCAGAGAAGCAGCACTTACAGTCTGAATCTCAGTATATGCTCTGCACTCTCAAGAGTGTGTAGCAAAGCATCATTACTCCTTTTGGGCCATCTCACTCCATTTCTTCCTGGACATGTAGCAACGGAATGGTCCCATTTAAAAAAACAAACAAACAAACAAACAAACAAACAAAAGACAAGCAAAGCAAGGTCTCATTGTGTGGCCCATGAGACCTCTCACGAAAAATCCTCTGCCTCACTTTCCAACTGTCGGAATTACAAACATCCAGCCTCATCCCACTGCGTGTCGCTTTGTATAAAGTATTATCTTTCAGGTAGTTGGTGGGTAGGTGTGCACTCTGATGGCCCTGGTGGCTTGACAGGTAGTCATTTTGAAGATTTGCTCTGTTTCTTAATTTGTATGAGTCTGTGGGGTTTCTGAAGTGAGTGAACAGTGAACCATTTTTGTAGATCACCACAGGCGCTCACAGAAAGAACCGTTTTTTTCCCCATTTCTCCTATTGCCAACTGAAATGCTCTTTTCTTTTTTAAAAGGTGCATTTCTTTGTCTGTTTTTCCCCCCATATGACTAAGATATGAGTCTTCATCATGCTAAGGGACCTACATCAAAGTCTGAAAGAAAGCCTGTGCTTAGCGGACCTATAGAGAAGTGGAGGGAAAGAGGTCCAGGGCTGGACATAGAACTGATTCTGCCCCCCATCCACGGGAAGAGGTTTCTCCTTTCTTCTGGAAGGGGGTGGGCATCTGAGAGGCACAGGCCAGCTGGAAGCTGATAATGCAGGCTTGCTGTGAAAAATGCCTGTGAAGGCTGAAGAGGAGACAGCAGGGGCCAGTGAGCTTTAAGCCTGCACTGAGGGCTGGCCCCTGAGGGAGAGCCCCAGCACAGGACACAGCTCTGAGAAAGTGTGGCAGATCATGATGGCATAGGACTGAGCCCCGAGATGAGCAGAAGTACCCTAGCTCCAGTCCCTCACCCACGTGTGTTCTGTCAGTGACCACCAGCAGCGAGTCTTTGAACTCTAGGGAAGACCCAAAGGCGTGGCAGTTGGAGGCTGTTAGCAAACCGTCTTGAAGTGAAATTCGAACAGTGTGTAACAATGGCTTCCACGAGGGGAGAGCTTAACAGGTGTGATTTTCATGACCACATTTGCTGACATGTATTGGAAAATGTTCTCGGGTTAAGAAGAAATCCACAGCAAGGACTCTGCACTGAGAATGGTGACTGAACCATTATCAAAACCGTTTGGCCGTAGGCTCTTCCATCGTAGCTGCTCGAGTCTACTTCTTGACACTCGTAGTCAACTAAAGAGAACAAAGGACTAGGAAGGTTTTAATAGCCTCTCTATAAGGATGCTCCAAGTACTTCCCTGCAGTTATTCTGCACATATCCCATTGGTCAGAATGTAAAGATATGTATAAATGTATGAATATATATATTATAGCTGTATGGATGATTTCGGTGGCAGGCTTCCTGGCCAGAACTGAATCTCTGTTTGTAAGTTTCATTGGCTTTATTTGATCAAGTCCTACTGCAAATAACTTACAGTGAGAGTCAGCGACCTTGATATGAACAACACTTAGAGGTTACTGGGCTCTAAGCCAGCAAGGCCCATGACACACATTTACTGAAGATTTGAAAACCTCTGTGCATGAGAAGGCTGAGACTTGCTGACCAACCCTGCCCAGAGGTGAAAGGATGAACTCATTCAAAATTGCTGTGGAGCCCTTCCTATGCAGAAGGCAACATGGGCTTAGTGGGCAGAGCCTGTTGGATCATCACTTCTGATCCTTAATGACAAAGGCATTGTCATTTATGATCTTTCCTCCTAAAATTACTTGATTGATTTTCTCACTTGATGTCAGTTTACTCCAGATAACTTGTTATTTTAATTCTGAAATGCATGGGAAAACCAGAAAACTACTGTGGAGCTAGATGAGATCTTACATTGATTTACTCAGAGCTGTTCTTCCATCTGTACAAAGTAAGATATTAAGACTGAAAAGCATGAAATTACGTTTTTTAAAGTGTTCTAAAAATTAGATTTCTTTTTCCTTGTTAGGGCACTGGGACGGATGAAGATGCCTTGATTGAAATCTTAACTACCAGGACAAGCAGGCAGATGAAAGAGATCACGCAGGCCTATTATACAGGTGACTTTTACCACTGATGACACGTGTGAGCCAAATTGCTTCTAGCATCTCACCTATCATAGTCTTGAGAAGGCCAGAGATGGGGAAAGAAAGATGCATTCCAACTTGGACTGTTCATTTTTAGGGAAAGTTAGAATATGATCTGCACATAACAATAACATTAACATCTGGCATTTACAGCAGTATCGATTTGGAGTACTTTGCCCTCAGCAATCACATAATTGAATCAATCATTTTTATCAATATAAGAGTTTCAAGTTATCGTATACTTCTTTTATAAGTTAAAAACCACTCGGGAAATTTGGTAAGCTAATTAGAGGAAGTGCTGAATATTTAGATTCAATATAATTGGCTGAAGTCCTAAAAGTTCGTGTAAAAATTAGAAGGTCTGCACAGTGTAATGCTGCCTCTACTCAGCCACCTCATTCAGACTCAGCCACAAGCTCAGATGTTCCCAAGTCTCACATACCTCTCACCGATTGCCTAGGAATCCAGGATTCTCCCTGCAAACTCTGGTACAGTAGCTCACTAAAACCACACAAAACTCCAGATAGAGTGGTACTCCCAATGACAACGCTGTTATGAAGGAAGTGAATCATGGCCAGCCTAATGACAGGACACACAGCTAGAGGTCTGTGAAGCCGCATTCTAAATCTTCTACCTGACTGGCACATTGACAGCAATCACCACTCCACTTGAACATTGTTAGCCATTTTTTTTAAATCAGGGTTACTCAGATATGATTTTTTAAAATCAGGGTTGGATAATTGTCCAAGTGATTGAGCTCAGGCTATGTCATGTGACTCAAAGTCTTTCTAACTCTTCTGCTTTCTGTTTTCAGTTATCTTGTTAGTAAAACTCAGAAGAATGCCATAAATAAGAGACTCAATTACAAGAGGGAATGCAAGGATTTGTCCTGAGGAGCAAGGACCAAATAGCAACTCAATGCTGTAATACACAGAGCCCCATACAGTTCTCTGAATACCTTGATGGAGCCAGGCTCTCTAAACTTGTGTTTCTAGGAGGTCAATTTTTACTGTAAGAGAAGCCCCGGATGGATATTAGAAAGATTATTTTTTTTTTGCATATAGAGTATTTTTTATTTAATTTTATATAACAAAGTCCAATTAAATGAAAACAAACATTTATACACAATATTTGGGAATTTGGGCGTCGTTCTTTCCAAACTACTTCCTGCTGGTAAGGGGCGCTGTCTTGGGGGATTCGAAGAAGATTCAGATATCCTAGCTGTAGTCTGTAGGGCTGTTTTGTCCAGCTGTTTGGAATGTAGGATCAGCTTGTACTCTGTTTCAGGCGGTCTGGTGTGATCAAACCACATTAGTCTGGAAGGAATCCACATCTTTTCATTTTCTGTGGAAACAAAAATAGAAATACTTTTCCCCAGTAACTTGTTCTTCAACTTAAATTTTGGAGTCAAAGCGTTTTTTTTTTTTTTTTTTTTTTTTATTATTATTATTATTTTACATGTCGATCCCAGTTCCCTCTCCCTCCCTCCCTCCCTCCCCCCAAGCCCTCCCTCCCTCCTTCCCTCCCTTTTACCCTCTCTACCCTCTCCCATGCACTCTAAACACCCTCCCCTCCCAACCCCCCACCACAATACAATATGTAGGGGAATGCCATCCAGTTGGGGTCATGTAGATCTGACAGGTCCTGTGAAGTAGGGACTAGGGCTTCTCTCCTATCTCTAGAATAAGGCAGTTATCCCTCCATGGGGGATATGTTTGCAAAGTCCTTTTGTGCACCAGGGATACATCCTGGCTCCACTGTCTGAGGTCTCTTAGACTGCTCAGACCTTCTGGCTGAGACCCATATTCAGGGGAGTCCGAGTCAGACCCCTGTTGGCTTCCCAGCTATCAGTCTAGTGGCCCTTAGCTCCTCCTTGTTCAGGTAAGCTGTCTCTATGTACTTCTACCGCATGGTCTTGTCCTCTCCATCTGCTTCTGGGTTCTAGTTTGACTCAGTGTTTATGTATGGGTGTTTGCTCCTGTTTTCAACAGGCATTAGTTGAGGACTCCATGGAGAAGTTAGTTGTTGATCTCACTCTCCGGGAAGGGCATTTATGATAGCCTTTCCACGGAAGCTGAGATTGTTAGTTGGGAGCAGTCTTGTAGTTCCTTCGACCTTTCTTTGTGTTCAACTTTATCTTCAAACCAATATTGGCTCCCTCTTTTATGTTCTCTCTCTCTGTCTCTGTCTCTCTCTCTCTTTCCTATTTTCCATTCCTAACCAGGCTCAATCCTCCTAGTCGCACATGCCTTCCTCTCCTCCCTCTCATTTTCTCCTACTTCTCTCTCCATTAGCTGTCCTCCCCCACTATACCTGAGGTCTGGGGGACTTGTCCCTTCCCAGTTCTGTGAGGGACTTTATATGAATCTCTTAGAATACAACTTGTATCCTAGTTCCTCTGGTGATGTGAATTATAGGCTGGTGATCATTTGATCTAGGTCTAAAATCCATATATGAGTGAGTACATACTGTGTTCCTCTTTTTGTGACTGGGTTACCTCATTCAGGATGGTTTCTTCAAGTGCCATCCACTTGCCTGCGAATTTCAAGATACCATTATTTTTTTCTGCAGAGTAGTATTCCATTGTGTAGATGTGCCACATCTTCATTAACCATTCTTCAATTGAAGGGCATCTAGGTTGCTTTCAGGTTCTTGCTATTACAAATAGTGCTGCTATGAACATAGTTGAACAGATGTCTTTGTTGCATTGATGTGAATCCTTTGGGTATATGCCTAAGAGGGGGATTGCCGGGTCCTGTGGTAAACTAATTCCCATTTTCCTGAGGAACCGCCATACTGATCTCCAAAGTGGCTGTATGAGTTTGCACTCCCACCAGCAGTGGAGGAGTGTTCCACTTTCTCCACATCCTCTCCAACATAAGTCATCACTGGTGTTTCTAATTTTAGCCATTCTGGCAGGGGTAAGATGGTATCTCAAAGTTGTTTTGATTTGCATTTCCCTGATAGCTAAGGATGTGGAGCATTTTCTTAAGTGTCTTTCAGCCTTTTTGATTTCCTCCATTGAGAATTCTTTCTTCAGTTCTGTACCCCATTTTTTAATAGGGTTATTTGGTGTTTTGTTGACTAGTTTCTTGAGTTCTTTGTATATTTTGGAGATCAGCCCTTTGTCGGATATAGGATTAGTGAAAATCTTTTCCCAGTCAGTGGGCTGCCGTTTGGTCTTGTCAACTGTGTCCTTTGCCTTACAGAAGCTTCTAAGTTTGAAGAGGTCCCATTTATTAATTGTTTCTTTCAGTGTCTGTGCCCCTGGAGTTATGTTCAAGAAGCGGTCTCCTATACCAATTTGTTCAAGGGTACCTCCTACTTTCTCTTCTAAGAGGTTCAATGTGGCTGGATTGATGTTGAGGTCTTTGATCCATTTGGACTTGAGTTTTGTGCATGGCGACAGACATGGGTCTATCTGCAGTCTTCTACACACCCTCATCCAATTGTGCCAGCACCATTTGTTGAAGATGCTGTCTTTGCCCCATTGTATCATTTTAGCTGTTTTGTCGAAAATCAGGTGTTCATAGGTGCATGGATTAATATCAGGATTTTCAATTCGATTCCATTGGTCTACCTGTCTATTTTTATGCCAATACCAGGCTGTTTTCAGAACTATAGCTCTGTAGTAGAGCTTAAAGTCAGGAATGGTGATGCCTCCTGATGTTCTTTTTATTGTATAGGGTTGTTTTGGCTATCCTGGGTCTTTTGTTTTTCCATATAAAGTTAATTATTATCCTTTCAAGGTCGGTGAAGAATTGTGGTGGGATTTTAATGGGGATTGCATTGAATCTGTAGATTGCTTTTGGTAAGATTGCCATTTTTACTATGTTTATCCTACCTATCCAAGAGCATGGGAGGTCTTTCCATTTTCTGGTATCTTCTTTAATTTCTTTCTTTAGAGTCACAAAGTTCTTATTATATAGATCTTTTACTTGTTTGGTAAGCGTTACACCAAGATACTTTATGTTGCTTGTGGCTATTGAAAAGGGTGATGTTTCTCTGATTTCTTTCTCTGCCTCTTTGTCGTCTGAAAAAAATAGGGCTACTGATTTTTTTGAGTTTATCTTGTATCCTGCTAGTTTGCTGAAGGTGTTTATCAGCTGTAGGAGTTCCCTGGTAGAGTTTATTGGGTCGCTTATGTAAACTATCATATCATCTGCAAATAGAGACAGTTTGACTTCTTCCTTTCCAATTTGGATGCCCTTGATCTCCTTTTGTTGTCTTATAGCATTAGCTAGAACTTCTAGTACGATATTGAAGAGATATGGAGAGAGAGGACAGCCTTGTCTTGTTCCTGATTTTAGAGGAATTGGCTTAAGTTTCTCTCCATTCAGTTTGATGTTGGCAGTTGGTTTGCTGTATATTGCTCTTATTATGTTTAGGTATGTTCCTGTTATCCCTGACCTCTCTAATACCTTTATCATGAAAGGGTGTTGAATTTTATCGAAGGCTTTTTCTGCATCTAGGGAGATAATCATATGGTTTTTCTTTTTCAGTTTGTTTATATGGTGGATCACGTTGATAGATTTTCGTATGTTAAACCATCCCTGCAATCCAGGTATGAAGCCTACTTGATCATGGTAGATGATTTCTCTGATGTATTTTTGAATTCGGTTTGCCATTATTTTATTGAGTATTTTTGCATCGATGTTCATCAGGGATATTGGTCTGTAGTTTTCTTTCTTAGTTGTGTCTTTGTGAGGTTTGGGTACCAAAGTTATTGTGGCCTCATAAAAAGAGATTGGCAATAAACCTTCTGTTTCTATCTTGCGGAACAGTTTGAGGAGTAGTGGTATTAGTTCTTCCTTGAATGTCTGGTAGAATTCTGCACTGAATCCATCTGGCCCTGGACTTTTTTTCGTTGGAAGGCTTTCGATGACTGCTTCTATTTCATTTCGGGTTATAGGTCTATTTAAGTTGTTTGTCTGTTCTTGATTTAATTTTGGTAAGTGATAGTTATCCAGAAACTTGTCCATTTCCTTTGAATTTTCAATTTTTGTGGAATACAGATTTTCGAGTATGACCTGAAAATTGTCTGGATTTCCTCTGTGTCCGTTGTTATGTTCCCCATTTCATTTCTGATTTTGTTAATTTGCATGTTCTGTCTCTGCTTTTTCGTTAATTTGGATAAAGGTTTATCAATCTTGTTGATTTTCTCAAAAAACCAACTCTTTGTTGCATTGATTTTTTGTATTGTTTTCCTGGTTTCTATTTTGTTGATTTCAGCCCTCAAGTTGATTATTTCCTGGCGTCTGCTTCTCTCTGTTCTAAGGTTTTCAGTTGCGCTGTTAATTCATTTATGTGACTATCCTCTGTTTTCTTCATATGGGCACTTAGTGCAATGAACTTCCCTCGTAGCACTGCTTTCAAGGTGTCCCATAAGTTCGGGTATGTTGTATCCTCATTCTCGTTGAATATTAGAAAGTCTTTAATTTCTTTCTTTATTTCTTCTTTGACCCAGGAGTGGTGCAATTGCACATTGTTAAGTTTCCATGAGTTTGCAGGTTTTCTGCTATTTGTATTGTTGTTGAATTCCAATTTTAAAGCATGGTGGTCCGATAAGATACAGGGGACTATTTCTATTCTCTTGTATCTGTTGAGGTTTGTTATGTCTCCTAGTATGTGGTCGATTTTAGAGAAGGTTCCATGTGGAGCAGAGAAGAAGGTATATTCTTTTGTCTTTGGATGGAATGTTCTATAGATGTCTGTTAGCCCCAGTTGAGACATAACTTCTGTTAATTCTTTTGTTTCTTTGTTGAGTTTCTGATTTGTGGTCCTGTCTAGTGTTGAGAGTGGTGTATTGAAGTCTCCCACTATAAGTGTGTGAGGTTTTATATGAGCTTTGAGTTTTAGTAGTGTTTCTTTTACGAATGTGGGTGGCTTTGTATTAGGGGCATAGATGTTCAGAATTGAGACTTTGTGTTGATGGATTTCTCCTGAGATGAATATGAAATGACCATCTTCATCTCTTTTGACTAGTTTTGGTTTGAAGTCTAGTTTGTTAGATATTAGGATAGCTACGCCAGCTTGCTTCTTATTTCCATTTGATTGGAAAATCTTTTCCCAACCCTTTACCCTGAGGTAATGTCTATCTTTGGAGCTAAGATGTGTTTCTTGTATGCAGCAGACGGATGGATTCTGTCTTCGTATCCATTCTGTTAATCTGTGTCTTTTTATAGGTGAGTTAAGACCATTAATGTTGAGGGTGAGTAAGGACCATTGATTGTTGATGGTTGTTTGATTTAGGTTTGTTGTTGGCAGTGGTATTGTGAATATATTTGTTCTGCTTCACCCTAGGTTTCTGGTGTAGTTGGATTATCTGTTGCCTACATTTTTGTGGGCGTAGTTACCTTCCTTGGGTTGGAATTTTCCTTCCAATACTTTCTGTAGGGCTGGATTTGTAGATACATATTGGGAAAATCTGGTTTTGTCATTGAATATCTTGTTCTCTCCATCTATATTGACTGAGAGTTTTGCTGGATATAGTAGCCTAGGCTGGCATCCGTGTTCTCTTAATACTTTTAGAACATCTATCCAGGACCTTCTGGCCTTGAGGGTTTCCATGGAGAAGTCAGGTGTAATTTTGATAGGTCTGCCTTTATATGTTACCTGTCCTTTTTCCTTCGCTGCTCTTAATATTTTTTCTTTATTCTGTATGCTAGGTGTTTTGATTATTATATGTCGAGGGGTCTTTTTTCTTTGGTCCAGCCTATTTGGGGTTCGGTATGCTTCTTGTACTTTCATGGGCATGTCCTTCTTCAGATTTGGAAAGTTTTCCTCGATGATTTTGTTGAATATGTTTTCAGCACCTTTGAGCTGGGCTTCCTCACCTTCCTCTATGCCTATTATTCTTAGGTTTGGCCTTTTCATGGTGTCCCACATTTCCTGGATATTGTGTGTTAAGGATTTGTTGGATTTATGGTTTTCTTTGGTCGATGAATCTATTTCTTCTAGTTTATCTTCTGCGCCTGAGATTCTCTTTTCCATCTCTTGAATTCTATTGGTTATACTTGTGTCCGTGGTTTCCGATTTTTTGCCCAGCTTTTCAATTTCCAGCTTTCCTTCCATTTGTGTTGCCTTTATTTTCTCAATTTCGGTTTTCAAATCTTGAACCGTTTCCTTCACCTGGTTAATTGTTTTTTCTTGGCTTTCTGTACTTTCCTTAAGGAATTTGTTCATTTCTTCCACTTTTTTGTTTGTTTTTTCCTCTATTTCTTTAAGGGATTTTCTCATATCTTCTTTGAGGGCCTCTATCATTTTTATGATGGTGATTTTTAAGTCATACCCTTCTGCTTCCTCTGCTTTGTTGTTGTGTTCCATTCTAGTTGGTGTAGATTCCCTAGATTCTGGTGGTGTCATGTTTGTCTTTCTGTTGTTAGGTGTTCTCTTGTATTGCCTTCTTCCCATAGCTTCTTCCTGTAGGTGTTGGTGGTGTCTCTTCCCTCTCTCTATGGTCCTTCCCAGATGGGCTTATGTGGATCAAAGATTCAATGTCTGTATCTCTGTGTGGTCCAAGCTCTCTAGGAGGCTTCTCTCTGGCCAATAGCCGGGAGAAGAGGACGAGGGCTGGGCTGGAACTTGAGAAGTTTTTGCAGGGTAGTGGGATCTCACTGGAAACTGGCGCTCTCCAGCTGAGACCTCGTTCTTTTGCAGGGGCCCGGATTTGGGGGTCAAGGATCTTGCCTGCAGGAACTCCAAGTGGACCCGCAGAGATAGGCGGATCTCTGGGAGGGGCCTGGGACTCCAGCAGAGGACTGGAGGCGGGGTCAGGGACCAAGCCAGTGGAAATTACAGGTGGTCCCACGTGGATAGTCAGGTCTCCTTTGTTCGGAGTTGCTCCGAGAGGTCTCCGAAGTAGGGTGGACTGTTGGCTCCACCCTCTGTCCCAGTGCTCAACCAGAGCGGCAGGACCGTGGGGGGGGGGTAGGGCACAGGGTGGGGGGGGGTAGGCTGGAGGTTGGGATGGGTGGGGGTGTATCAGAGCTCCAAGGGTGCTCTCAAAGGGGACCGGAGACAGGAGCAGCAGGATCAGGGGCCAATCCAGGCAGAAAGATTATTTTGAGAAATTCCAATTAAATGATAGGTAACTAAATTATAGGCAACTAAATTGTTATTGATGTACTAATTAGAGTCCAGTCAGAAAACACACACACACACACACACACACACACACACACACACAAAACACTAGCTATTCTAACACAAGAGTTTATTAGAGATAATTGCATCAGTACTTTTTTTTTTTTTTTTGAAAACAGAAATGGAAGACAGAGGGTAAAACACCAGTACCTCCCAGGTTAAGGACTCCATGGCAAAGAAGTTGGGGTTATCTGAAATTGCAAGTTTGGGAGGAGGGTACTGCCTGTCTGGTATTGGTATCCCAGGGGCTCAGAAGAGAAGCTTAATAAAGAGCTCAGGACCTCATTTGCCTGTGTATCCTTTAGAGCCACTGTCAGATGAAATGAACCGCAATTCAGTTGAGAGCCACAGTTCTTACTGCTTGCCTCTCACAGCACACAGCAGAATCAGGGCCAGAGAGATGCCTCCACCACACACTCCCACACCAGCAGAGCACCAGAATGGCAAACAGAACACCCTTGAGGTCACTGTGCTCTGCTCTGGAGCAGTCTCTTTTAGTCTCTTGTGATTAAATCTCATTCATATTTGGTTTCAGTGTATAAGAAGAGTCTTGGAGATGACATTAGTTCGGAAACATCTGGTGACTTCCGGAAAGCTCTGCTGACTCTGGCAGATGTAAGGTTCTATTTTTCATTATTTGCCTCTCCCAGTAAGCCACAAGCTCAGAAATCGTTTTCAGGAATAGTGAGATTTCCACTTTTCTTTGGAATGATTTGTTCAAATCACATTTACATTTTCATCATCAATAAAGTGTTTAACCAAGGTCACAAAAGCACGTATGGTGACAGAACCACAATAAAAATCTTGGTTGGGTCAGATGAATCTACAGATTAGAAGTATTTCCACCGAGGGTCAGTGTGCTGTTCTGATATGCCACTCACATAAACTCTTAACTGCTCTATTTCAGCATGCTCACATCTTTAGAATGTGTAGATTTTCTCCTGGATTCCTAAGAATACACACACACACACACACACACACACACACAAGATGCTAAAGTTGGGGCTGGAGAAATGGCTCAGCAGTTAAGAGTATTGACTGTTCTTCAGAGGACCAAAGTTGGAATCTCAACACTCACGTGTAAGCTCACAATCCCCTGTAATTCCAGTCCCAGGGGATCCTGTTCCCTCTTCAGGCATGTGTGTATGGGCACAGCATGCATGTGGTGCCTAAACAAACCAACATGGTAAAAATCAAGAATGAGGCATATTCATGGGCTCCTATAAGAGAGGACATGATAGAAGCCCTGTCTCACTGACTTCTTGCAGCCGATTTACACAGCTCCTGATATGTGAGAAAATCCCCAGTGGCTCAGCTTGATGGCTGAAGTAGTGCTGGCCATGTGAGATATTATGCAGCTTGGAGATAATTCATCCTCATTATAGCTTGAGGTGCTTTAACTGCTGAAAACCTGGGGAAGGTTGAATACACACACCCAAATATATGAAGGACAGTGGCACACTTGGTCCTGCCAGTGCATGTTATAGTGCATATCCACATGTGTGATGTGAGCTCACCCACAGGAAGCAGGAAAGGTAGAGTTCCAAGATCTTTGGGATCAGATAGAACTGGCTCCTCCCACTGCCTGATGGCTCCCTATATCTGTATCTGTACAAGTTCCCTTAAGCTTTAAGGAATTTGTGTTCATGCCTGAGAAATTACACTTCAGATAGTATTAACAGCTTGAGGTATTATGAAGGTTAAGAGAGAGTAAGCAAGATGCTGTGTGCATAGAAAGGGATTAACACATTAGGGTTTACTCAAATGGCCTGGACTTTAACTAATGTGTGAACGTACCTACCATTACAGTTTCATGCAGAATGGTTTCACCGCTCTAGGACATCTGTCTTCTGCCTTTTATTTATATCATTCTTTCCCTCTCCCACAGAAACTATTCATCTTTTTCTGCTTCTGTCTTGCCTCTTGTATAGTGTCCAGTAGTTGATGTCATTTCTTATACAGCCTTTTCAGACCAGCTCTCAACACTTAGCCATGTGGTTTAGAGATTCATCTATGATATATGTGCTTTATTTTTTTTTTTTTTGAATGAGTGAATTTGAATTTCCCAAGTATATAGCAAGCAATAACAAAGGAAAAAAAAATCAAAAGTAGCAGCAGAAAGACAGAAAAACCTCATCAAATCAGGCAATCATAACATCCAGCAGGAACCGCTGGAATATCCTGACTGAGAGAGTAACAAAAGGTAACTATCAAATTGGTTAATTGCAGAGATCCCGCAGAGATCAAATAGGGAAAGCCAGTTGAAACAGGCAGCCCAAGCTGTGGGATGAGTGTCCTGGGTAGAGCACTGTGTCCCCTGTGGTGAGGCTTCAAGCAAAAGGACAATCACCACACCGCAAACAGAGAGAACATCACCAAACCAGTGCTTATAACCATCTAGCACAGTGGTTATCAACGTGTGGGTCATGACCCCTTTGGGGGAAATATCAGATATTTACATTATGGTTCATAGTAGCAGTAATATTACAGTTATGGAATAGCAATGGAATAATTATATGATGGTGAGTCACTACAATGTGAGGAAGGTTGAGAAGCACTAACCTAGCAGAAATGACTGGGGATGCCCTGCTTAGTCACGCTAGAAAAGCTCCTGGTTGGACAGTGTTCTCTTTCCCACTGTAGTCATTATGGTATTATGGGATAGACAATGGTCACCTTGGCTGTTTTCCCTCTCCCCGTGAAATACTCAGGGGGTCATTCTGACCCAGGTCAGGGGCATTTGGGGGACATGTGACATAAACATGCTTGAGCTGAACTTGGAGTATCAGTGCTGCCCAGAGCCAACTTCTCAGTGACCTCAAACAGCAAATGGCATTTTACCAATATAATGAATATTGCATGTGCCTGTAAGGGTTTTCCACATTTTATTTATTCCACAACTAGCCAGCTTATGTCTATTTTTGCCGAATAATATCTTATTGTATAAACTGTTTATTGGTTGAAGGGCACCTTAGTTACTTCCAAGTATTGACAATTAAAAATAAAACTCTAGTTGAATATTTATTTGCAAGCTTTTGTGTGGACATGTGTCCAGCTTCCTTAGATGAATGTCAAGGATCATAATTGATGGATCATACTGTAGGAGTATACCTAGCAATGTAGAAAACTGCTGGGTGGTCTCTCAGAGTGCATGTAATATCTTACATCCCCACTAGCAATGAATGTAGGGTTCCTATTTTTTCTAGTCTTTCCCAGTATTTGGTGTTGTCGGTGTTTTTGGAGTTTAACCATACTAATAGGTCCTGTTTTAATTTTAATGTGTAGCCCTCAGAGACATGATGAAAAGCCTCTTTCTGTGTGCTTTCATGCTGTCTATACATCTTTGTTGGGATGGTGCCTTAGATCTTTTCCTCTTTTTTAAAATTGGGTTGTTGGGCTAGAGAGATGGCTCAGCCGTTAAAGGCCAGGCTCACAACCAAAAATATAAAATTGGGTTGTTTATTATCTTCTTACTGGTTCTCAAAAGTACTTTGTATATTTTTTATTAGTCTTTTATCAGATATGTTTTGTAATATTTTCGGTCTATGCCTTGTCTTTCCATCCAGAGGAGATTGAGACTCTAGATTGTGTGCTTTGCTACACTGATTGACAAGTCAGTGGCAGGGACAGACCTGTACCCAAGAATGCCAGATACTTCTCTACTACATGGTTTGCATGAAAAAAAAAAAAATCTATCAAGATAAACTGCGGGTTGGAGTACTGGGTCCTTAAAGGATTGACCTTGGGTTTTGTTTTTGCTTTTGTTCTTCTTTTAATCGTCCCTTCTGGTTTAGGGTAGAAGAGATGAAAGTCTAAAAGTGGATGAACATCTGGCCAAGAAAGATGCCCAGGTCAGTAACAGCCAGGAGAATGTCTCTTTCACACACATACACCCTTGATGGCCTTTGCAAAAGATGGTATTACCCACCCAAGCCTATCATCTCCTGTCCAGTCTGAGTCAAGGCCTGGGGACAAGCATCATCCAGCCCAGCCTCTGCCTGCCACTGTGGTGGTGAGCATCCACCACTGCCACCACCAGATCTTGCATTTGACCTTCAGGTCTGAAGTCCGCTAAAAGTGAATGGTGTGGATGATAGATGGTTTTACTGGCCTCTAAAGTCAAATAAAATCCCCACTCTACCCCTTCCAATCCCTCCAGTAGAGAAAAGCCTGTATTTGTGATGATATGCAGGGTTTCTTCCATTTGTGCAGATCCTCTTTAACGCTGGTGAGAACAAATGGGGCACGGATGAGGACAAATTCACCGAAGTCCTCTGTCTGCGGAGCTTCCCTCAGCTGAGACTAAGTATGACTGAGTCTGTTTTGCTCTCTCTCTCTCTCTCTCTCTCTCTCTCTCTCTCTCTCAATATATATATATATATTTGTGGATGTCTTTGCAGTTTATGTAGAAACCTCTTAGGAAACCAAGTGGAGAAGTTGCATTTTAACTCAAGGCAGTACTGACATTTTCTTTCATTTTGCTCTGAAGACTGAGTAGGCTACCTACCCTGTGAGTAGCAAGCCATAGATGAGAATGGAGAAGAGGCAATCCTGCCCAGAGCAGAAAGGCTGGTTGTTGTGGGTTGGAGGAGCTGGTTATCAAACCTCCACCCATCCATCTCGGGTCCACCACCTTCTGGAAAAGCTAGACATTGAAAGGGAATTTGTTGGTTGACTAATGGTGACCAAAGGGGCTTTTGTGGATGGATTAATGGTGAAAACAGTGGCCTCTCTCTGACATGAGAGTGGGGAGGGCCAGCTCTTTCTCTCAGACCAATGATTGGGTCCCACCCTCCCTCTGTGTCTCCCTGAGCTGGTCTGGAAGCACAGAGTTCCATTTAGCATGGCCACAGTATAGCAATGGCTTCCAGGTGCCAGTTTAAAAAACAGCAGCATATAAGACTAACCTGAGACTGATCTGGGAAAACAGAAGGTTCTTGCTGGGACTTTTAATTCTGAAATTGCTCTTCTTTAACTTCAACAGTGACAGTGACTTTTGGTGCAATATGATAGTGGGTATACTAAGGTCTTGGTTTGACCCCTGTATTGCAAATTTTATTTCGTTCTTTTTTTCTTTCAAAATGTGTTGGATGACTCATGCCTTTCATTCAAGCAGAAGCAGGAAGATATCTGTAAGTTCCAAGCCATTTAGGGCCACAGGAGTAAAACTCCCATCTCAAAACAAAACAAAAAAAAGCAAAAACAAAAACCTTCAACCCTGTTGGAAAAATTGTCCTGTATACTCTATGACACATGTCCAAGTTTTACTTAAGAAAAATACTGATCAAGAAATTCGGATTGCTTCTGGTAGGTGTAAAGTGGCCCAAACTGCCTTAGAGAATGATTTCCTCAGCACAGGAAATCCAAGCCCTCCCAGACAGGGCCAGTTAAGGTGGCTTCTCCGATAAAGGCATTTGCCACCATAAAGGCACTTGCAATCAAGCCTAACCACTTGTGTTTGGTCCCTGGAACCCATGTCATGAGAGGAGAAATTCAACTCCTAAAGTTGTCCTCTGACCTCCACACATGTGTACACACACACACACACACACACACACACACACACACACACACACACACACCATAAAATTAATATTAAGAATGTTTTAAGGAATCTTCTCATTTAATGTTCTGAAGCACGAGAAGCACATCTGACCACTGGCTACAGCATTGATTCCTGGCGCTGCTACAATTTTAAAATGGATAAATAATTTGTCACAGACCAATTCAAGCTGTTTTAACTGCTTCAAGGTGGCAGGGAGGAGAGGTCACTGAAGAAACGGCCTAAGGACTTCAGTCTTCACTGTGCTCACCTTGTGATGGCTGAGGTTCTGAGCTTGCTGGTTGATCTGCTACGTGTTGCATTTTTAAATGTGAAATATATTCAAGTGTGGCCCTCTGGGGTGCTTTAAATATTTTTATGGTGCTACTTTTTAGCATTTGATGAGTACAGAAATATTAGCCAGAAGGACATTGAGGACAGCATTAAAGGAGAATTATCTGGGCATTTTGAAGACCTGCTGCTGGCCATAGGTAAGCCCTTGAGTGTCAATAAATGGAACTGTTTCTCCTTCTTTGAAGTCAATGTCGAGGTGAGCTAATTTTAAGAATCCTCACTGATCCATATGTGCACTTTACAGCCCCACCCCAGCAGTCCATGGTAGAAACAGCTATCTCAACAATGCATGGAGAAGTTATGTACTTGCTTCTTATCTTGCATTTTAAATCTGTACTTGGCTTGCAGTCGTGTTTAGATTATACCCTCTTTGAAAGCTGAATATTACATTCTACTTGCATTTTTACTGAACCTTGTTGAAACTGAGCCCTAATCAATTTGGTATCCCACTGTATTTGGTTATCTCTGGAACATGTCAGTTTCTTCCCAAACTAGAGCCAAAGTCAGAGCTGTAGATCTCTTTCTCTTTGGTTGAGGTGGGATTCAAGCAGAATCCATTCCTATATAGACTCATACATTAACGAGTGGTCAGGAATGCTGTTATGTAGGCAGGGAGGGCTCATTCACTAAGAGAGTCTCTCAAAAGAAAGGTGCAATTAAAGGAGGCACCTCTCAAAGACAGGATTCTTGACCTCTTTAGTGAAGTCCAAAAAAAATCTTAACTCTCTCCCTCCATCTTTCTCTTTCTCTCTCTGCACCTCCACACAAACAGGGGCGAGGGGGTGTCTAGGATATCTACTTAGAGATGCTGTATAGCCTACTGCAGAATTCTGATGGGAGATGTCATTTTGTAAATATGTTTCTCATGCTGGTTAATGAATAAAGCACTCTTGGCCAATAGGAAAGCAAGATAGGTGGGACTAGGAGACAAGGAGGATTCGAGGAAGTAGTAGGGAGGAGTCAACATGTCAACATGGAGAGACTGGAGAGAACAGAGGCCCTACCCTACTCTCTGGAAAGATGAGACCACATGGAAATACTTAGATTAATAGAAATGGGTTAATAATTAAGACAGAGCTAGCCGATAAGAAACAAGTAAGTGGCCAACAGCATTATATCAAATACAGAGTCTCAGTGTGTTATTTTGGGGCTGGTGTGGCGGTGGGTCCGGCAGCAGGAAAAACTACTCGTAACAGAATTCCCATTGTCATTTCACCAGCAGGAAGTCATTCCTAAAATCCATTATAGTAACTGACAGCACCTGTTGTAAGATCCCTAAGAATGATTTCTCTACTGGTTCCTGGGATTCATCCTCCAAATGCTAGTTCCCACCTCTGATGCCTTAACCTTAATTTCTGTGTCCAGGGTATCATGTTAAACTCCTCACAAATGTCAACTCATTTAAACTCATTCATCCCTTTGGGGATGCAGTAAACTTGGGACTCAGATTGACTTCCTTCCACTGTGACTTTTTGAGCTGAACTGATAAAGGGGTGTGGTCTTCATTTTAATGAATTTAATGAATTGTGCAAGATGAGGGCTAGTCAGAATTTAGGAGCTTACAGCAAGTTATAGTTTGGTCCAGACAATGAAGAGTGCTGGAAATAGGCAATTGTGAACTGTGCTGATGGTTATAATTGAAGTAGTTCCTCTAGTCTCCCTTTCGATGATGGGTGCCAAAGTAAGTTTCCTTACTGCTAAGTTAACGCCACTTTCCCTATTTTCAGATACAAAGAGCAAACCTTATACTTAAGAAAATAAAGAAAAGGCCAGCTAAGGGAAAGGAAGGACTATGATGAGAAGAAGTGTATAGGTCTAGTTGTGGGGAAATAGTTGAAAGCTTAACAAGATAAAGGAAATCATAATGGTTTTGGTCAAATTCTTAAAGCCCAATACTTGTTAAAGAAAATTTAGGTAGTACAAATGCAAATGGTTGGTCTCTTGTCAGACAACATCACATCTAAAGTTTTCCATAAATCATTTATAGATACTATTAGTTGCCTTTCTGTTGCTGTCGAAAATGGTAAAATCACCAAGGCAACTTAGCAATGAAGGGAAGGGTTTATTTGGGCGTATGGTTCTAGAGAGATAAGAGTCTATAATGGAAAGGACAGCATGGCAGCAGGAACAGGAAGCTCAAGGCTCACATCTTTAACTACAACTAGGAAGCAGAGAGACTGAACTGGAAGTAATTTAAGGATTTCAACTGTCAAAACCCATCCCCAGTGATATACTTCCTCTAGCAAGACCACACCTCCTAAACCTCCCCCAAACGGTGCCATCAGCTGGGAATCAAGTATTCAAATTTCAGAGACTACCAAGGGTGTTTACAATTTAAGCCACCACATACAGCAAGGCTTTAGCTTTCCTTAAGAGTATGGAAGCACTATAAGGAAAGCCCCAGGCTTCCTTATGGAGTCCATTCACTCACTTTTAGTCAGATTCCTGCCTGGGCAGATTTAAGAGCATGAAAACAACTGTGCTGTGTAAATAGGTTTATTCTCTATAGACTTTACTCTTCCTCTAGTTTTTCACTTATCTCAAGGAAAATGGATTTACCCATGTTTTTTGTGAGTATTCTCTTTCTGATTTTGTTTTCCTTGCCGTTTCATAATAAATATTTGGAACACCATAGTATATTTTAGGTTTCTCTCTCTCACACAATTTAAATTTGAAACAATCTTTTATATGCCAATCCCAGTTCCCTCTTCCTCCCCTTCTCCCTTGCCCCCCAAGCCCCATCCCATTCCCTTTCTGCTCCCCAAGTATATTTTAGATTCTAAACTTCAGTTGCATGTAGTTCCAACACAGTCAATCTCACTAGCCTATACCTCCTAGTCCATTCATTTTAAAGGAAACTCTTTCCACAAGGAGATAGGGTTCTACATTGAAGTTTCAGTGTCCTTTTTATACAGTGAGTTATTTGTAGCAACATCTTCATAGTCATTGGAAGTCCAAGCTGTTCATTAGTAGCCTTAGTAGTCAAAGATGTAGAAACTGAGTTATGGTACAACCTAGTATTATGACAAGATGAGGCATGCAGTATGTCTGAGAAGTGAAGTTGAGTCAGACATATGGGAGGGTCTTTGGCAGATATATTTTTTCCGTGGCTGAACACAATTCCCATCCTAAAGTTCTGTGCAAGTATGACATCGTGAGGCTTTGAAACCCGGGATTAGCAGCTTTTCTCTCATTCTAAGTACAAGTCAGTACTGGGATTGCCTCAGTTCCTAATAAGTGAGACTAATCATTACTTTGCCTTTTGTTTAACAATAAACAGTTCATTGTACGAGGAACACCCCGGCTTTTTTAGCAGCAAGACTTCATCAAGCTTTGAAGGTTAGTCTGAAATTTTCATATTGTACTGGTAGATAGCATCCCTCATGGAGAAAAAAATACTGTTTAATGCTGATGGAATGTCATATTTCGTTTCCACTTCAGTGAGTTTCTTTTTGCCGCTAATTTTCTACTAATTTGCCTCAAAGTATGATAATAAATGCACCAGTCAGGGTAGAGGGAGCTCATAAAGAATTAGCTAACTCATTTTCCTTACTTCATCTGTGTAGGAAGTAGAACTTGTAGAATGCTAAACCTCAAAAAGCCCCTGAAATGCACGGTCTCTCAAGTGACCTTATTCCAAATGAGGCCAGCTGAGCCAGCAACATGAGCAGGATACTGATGACTCAAGGTTTTTTTTTTTTTTTTGTCTTCATTCCCTACAGCTGGGTTTAGCTCAGAGTCAATGCTTCCTTGGTTATTCAGTGGGCATTTCCCATGCCTGTAAAAATAATGTCCATTCCCCTCCCCTCATGTCACCACCAGTCCTGGCTCCCGTGTCCAGGGACCTCACAGGCTGTGCCTACTGGAACTGGCCTTGCTCAGCTCTGGAAATGGGACGTGCCCTCTCCAGCCTTTTTCCTTCTGTCTCAGCCACCTCCTGCTCCTTGCCATATCCTGGTTAGCAAGGCTGTTCCTCCATTGGCGTCTCTGTATCTGTCTTCCCTGTCTGTAGTGTTCCTCCACCTGAGATGTGACTGTCTTCTTTCGTCTTTTCAGGTCTCAGCTCAAATGTCTCCTCTTGAAATAACCCTCCCTGAATTATGCAGTCAACTGACTCTCTTTTCATCACTCTGCATCCTATTTCCCGGTGTTTTCTTCCATAGTTAATATTTATTAAAATATTTTATTTTTTCCATGGCTAAACACAATTCCCATCCTAAAGCTCTGTGCAAATATGACGTCAAGAGGCTTTGAAATTCAGGATGAGCAGCTTTTTTCTCATTCTAAGTAAAAGTCAGTACTGAGATTGCCTCAGTTCCTATTAAGCGAGACTAATCATTACTTTGCTTTTTGTTTAACTATAGTTTGCTATCTCCACCTGGGAGAAAATAAACTCCATGGGGCCAGAATCTATTCATGGCTGTGTGAATGGTGCAGGGAAGAGTGCCTGGTACACAGCAAATGTTCAACTGGCATTTCTTGGATACAAAAATAAAGAGAGCCAGCATGGGTGTAATAGCTGCCTTGAACTGCTTTACGCTCTTTCCCCATTGTCCACCTACCTGCAAACAGCTCTCCGTCTCCCTGTTTTCTCCATCTCTGGCCCTTACTCCAGCCGAGTTCACAGCCATCTCTCTGCTTTGCTGCAGCAGCCCCATCTGAATGTGTCTCGGAGTCTCTCCTCTTACTCCCTTGTACTCATTCTGGTTCTCCCTGGAATCTGTATTTCATATTGCAAATGGGCTGCCTCGAAAGCAACCACAAATAAGATCTCATCTCCGCATTCTTAGTTCAAAATATTGCAACAGTTCTACGTATGTGGGGTACAGTTAGACGTTTATTTCATGGTTAACAAGGTCTAGGTTTTCCAGATGCATTATTTGCTGTTGTTCATTATTTATATATCCTCAGATGTGGCATTCTTTCTTGTCCTAAACTTTCATACACACATACACCACAGAGAGTGGGGTGTGGGGAGAGGGGGAGAGAGGGGGGGGGAAGGAGGAGGGAGGGAGGAAGAGAGTCTTTTACTAGAACATTCTTTGTTTCCTATACAAATCCACCCCTCCTTCCCTGATGCATATATCATGTGTGTCCCCAACCTCTCCAGTGTTGCAAACACAGGTGTGTCGCACTGTGTCCACCATACCCCTGATTATTTGGGCTTCAGTGTATATGTCACTTTCTTGGGCAGACCTTTCTTAATCTTTAGTCTTTTCCAGGCTCCACTAAAACACACCTCCATTGAACCCAGTAACTCTCATCTGTCAGGCTGATTGTACTTGCTTTCTATTTAATAATTGTACTAGTTCATAGAGAATTTTGTACATGTTTTGTTCACATGCACCTTCCCACCCCCAGCTCTTCCCTTTCCACCCAACTTGGTGTCCTTTCTTTTTCCTGTTCAAGATCAATTTAAGCTGCTCACATATTTTCGAATGTGTAGCCTTCCACAGAAGTGTGGTCGACTTAGCAGGAGCTATACTTTTAGAGGAAACTAACCCTGCCCCTCTCAGCTGCTAACAGTTACCAATAGGTCAACAGCTAGGGGTGGCATTTTGTGCCCAACTCCCCTCTGTGCTGGGATTTGTGCCTGACTAATTTTCTTGTTTTCTAGCCTGCATCCTTCATAGCTTTGGAGGATGCTAATCGGGGACTCCTCCTCTATTCTTCATAGCATGGCTATACTCACTACACAGGCTCAACACACATTTCTCTAACAAATGAATGATGGAGTTTGGTGCTAAATGAGTGAAGCAGAGCTGCTGTGGTTGAGTATTTTGTGCACTATGGCCTGTCTCATAACTGAATATCTGCATGTCATCATGTGACCAGTGAGTGTCCCTTTTGTCCCAGGGGGCTGGAACAGATGAATTCACTCTCAACAGAATAATGGTTTCCAGATCAGAGATTGACCTCCTGGACATCCGGCATGAGTTCAAGAAGAATTATGGCCACTCTCTGCACTCAGCCATTCAGGTAAGTCTCCTCTGGAAATAGCGTGGCATAGTTTTCCCTTCTCTGCTCACAATCTTTCTTTGGAAGACCTTAAAACATAGCTAGGTCTGATTAAACTTCTCTCTTCCTCATCATTGTGTTTTCTGAGGTTTAAAAAGTTATAACCAGACATTCCTTAACTGGGGAACTGCGGGCTGGAGAGATGGCTCAGTAGTTAGGAGTACTCATTACTCTTGTAGAGGACCTGGATTCTGTCCCTAGCCCCACATGGAAACCATCCATAACTCCAGTTCTAGAGGATCTGACACCCTTTCCTGGCTCCTGTGGACGCTGCATACACATGTTTTGTTTAGCCTTAGCCCCTAAACGCCTTTGATAATTCAGATTATTAATCCAGTATGGGCACTGGGGTTGAGTGAAGCCATTTAACAAATCCAGTCACCGAGTACCACACTGACTAGATGCAGAGGTAGAGCCTGGGGCTGGTTCCACATGGGCCCCACATGTAGCATGACTCCTTTACCTCTGAGTTCTTAGATACTCTTAGACACTTTCTCAGGAAAATCAGCTTTGGAGACCCAGGCTGGTACCTGCTGAAAGCCATAGCCCAGCAGGGCCAGGACAAATGGGACAGCAGCCGGCAGAAGTGTAGAGAGTAACAAGATGGATGCACACACCCCAGGCCAGCTGCAGGATTATTTAGACTGTGCAGGTACAGATTCTTGGCAGGATCTACCCCTCCAGCCCCTAGGACTCTGAAACCCTGATCTCTGAGGAATGTGATACCTAGCCATGGCCACTGGGAATGCCTGGCGTAGGCTACATTCCTGTGTCACACTGAGTAGTTGGAGTCTTTCCTCCTACCTGTAATGCAGCCCTACCCATGATAGACACCTTACCCAGGTGCAAATATGGGCCTGGGTGTCTCTAAGCACCTTGGGAGCCTTCCAGCCTTGGGGCCCACAAATAATTTTTATTTTAAAAAAACATATGAATAAATGTACTTACTTCAACCAGTCAGCTAGATTTGCTCACCTAATTCCTCTGTGCTTTTTTTTTCTTTTCTTTCTTTCTTTCTTTTTTTTTTTTAAACAGCATCTTTTTTTCATCAGAGAAAGATGCATGGGTAAGTTGAAATCATAACTGATCCAAAAGAGCAACAGGCTCTTCCGAGAAGTTAGCACAGATTTTGTCAGCAGCCCACATTTGATTTATTTGAATTGATCCTGACACATTACAATAGTTTCAATCATCATAGGAAGATTCGATAATGTTAACCACATTGTACTTGCCAAGGCAGAAAAACAGACTCATACGTTTTCTAACAATTGGCAGTAACAAGGTTGACACCCACCCCAGTGGGGGCTTTTGCTTCACCCTCAGCCAACCAGAGAATTTGATTAAGCTGTGTCTCTCCGTCCCCCAATGGTCTGGGTAATGGAGAGTTATTGCATTAGGAAACATTTAAACTATTTGTAGTTTGATAAAAAGAAAACTCCATCACGGAGGAGTCCAGTTTGTGATGTGAACTCATACAGATCCCTTGCTCTCTACTTCCTACATACATTGTCAGGTAGTCTCATTCACATTTTCCTGACCAGCCAGTGAGGTCTTCAAAGTTGTGTTTCTGAGACTCGGGAATTAGAATTCTGTGTTGTGTACATCCCAGTCTTTGGTGCTGTCACCTGTATCAGCCTTTTTTTTGGGGGGGGGCACCAACCAGCTTCCAAATCACTACACAGACTTATTAGTTTTGAATGCTGGGCCTTAGTTTAGGCACATTTCTGGCTAGCTCTTTTAATTTAAATTAACTTGTTTCTCTTTGTCTTTTGCCTTGGGCCTTTTGCCTTTCTTCTGTATATCTTACTGTCACTGCCTCTTGTATCTACTGGCTGGGGACTGCCTGGCTTCTTGCCCTCTCTGTGTCCCTCATTCTCTCCTCCTCCTTCTCTTTTTTCCAGCCTAGATTTCTCCTCCTATTTGTTCTCTCTGCCTGCCAGCCACACCTATACTTTCTCCTGTCTATTAGATCAATCAGGTGCCTTAGGCAGGCAAAGAGAAACAGCAACATATCTTTACATAATTTATCACACATCCTTACATCACATGTTAAACAAATACAGCATAAACAAGAGTAACACACCTTTATACAGTTAAGGTAATATTCTGCTGCAGGATCAACAAATAGAACACATCTTTGCCCACTTAAAATAATATTCCACAACAGTCATCCTCTACTTTTTCTGATTACTTGGACATTGAACTGCTTGTTTGCTTGTTGACCCCTCTCATGGGCAATGACTACTGAGGAAGAGAGGAAGGGAAAAGAAGAGGTGGGAAAAAAAGGCATCTTTTCCTGACAAGATGTGATAACACATGTCTATGACACCCATTGTTTGGGAATGGCTGAGGCAGGAGGATTTCTGCTGTGAGACCAGCCTATACAACATAGTGAGGCCCTGTCTAAAAAAGATATTAATGGAAATTTAGATGAGACTATGTTTTGTTAAACTTTCTTGGTCAATAATAAAAAGTGCTGTATAAGAGCAATATAGCAACTACCCTAAGTAATCTCATGGTCTCACCCCCAGTGACGTTCTTCCACCAGCAAGGTGCTACCTCCTGAAGGTTCTTTAAATTTTCTAAGCAGTGCCACCTGCTGGGCACCAGGTGTTTAAACATAGGAGCCTATGGAGGACATTCCCAATTCAAACTGGCACAGTCATGTTTCTGAGTAAGGGTGGCAATTCCATACAGAGAAAATTGGGAGTGAGGAGAAGAAAGCTTAGAGTTGAGCTTTACCCATTACTGCTGCATAATGGCTGTGTAGCAGAGAAGATGAAGGTGGGATGCCTGAGGGGAGGGAGAAGGCAAGGGAAGAGCGTGTTCCAGGAGGGTGAATGAGGAAGGAGCTGTATCCTGATGACAGAATGTAAGCTAAGGGCTAAGAAATGTTTGTGCTATAGAGGAGGATGATTCACAAAACAAGAATTAATGGCTTGGCACTTAGATTAGTAAGTTTATAGTCATGCTGATGGCAAGAGATGAGAGCCTAGACTGTATCTGTAGTAACTTGGAAAGACACTATTATAAAGGAGAAATTGTCTGTAGTGACGAAATATGAGGGAGGGGAGAGAACCATTCAGTGTGTTACCAGCAGTCAACAGAGTATTTTGTTCCTTTCTTAAGAGGAATTTTTGGGAGGCAGAGATGATAGAGCCGGGCTCTCTCAAGTAGCTCAGGCAGGCCCTGAACAGGGTAAGTAGCCACAAGTAATTTTAAACTCCTGATGTTCTTGCCTCTGCCTGCAACATGCTAAGATTTCAAGATTAGGCTGTAATACATGACTATTTGAAACAGGGTTTCTCTATGTGGTCCTGGCTGTCTTGGAAGTCACTATGTACACCAAGCTGACCTTAAACTCACAAAGATCCCCCTGCCTCTACCTCTGTAGTGCTGGGATTAAAGGTGTGCGCCACTACAACAGTCTCCATACCTAACTCTTAAAAACAATAAATAGAATGTAATTAGGAAGCTATAAATGATGCATAACATTCTTTTCAAGCTAGCAAAACATTTTATGAAATAGCATTTCTTGAATGCAGTATAAATAGACTGTCTAGAGGGGTAATGAGGCAAAAGATAAGACAAATGTTTGTTTAGTCCCTATAGCAAATAACAGCCCTGTTCTAAGCTTCTTCTTTTCGTGTGTGTGTGTGTGTGTGTGTGTGTGTGTGTGTGTGTGTGTGCGCGCGCGCACGCACAACTTGTGGAAGCAATTCTCTTCTTCCATTGTGTGGATTCTGGGGATCAAACTCAGGTCGTCAAGCATGTCCCTTTACCCAGTGTGCCATCACATAATGGGGTATCTTTTCTTGACCAGTCAAACCCCAACCATTCTGTACAGCTCTGATCAGAGCCCCTGGAGGCCCTCTTGAAATACAAAGCTGGAGCGTGGCTGACTGCCAACAGTTTGGAAGAAGGTTGCATGTGGCAAAGCAGGACAGGCAAGCCAAGAGAGGGAAGAATTAATTCCATCATCTGCAACAGCAGTAGAATGTGTACTGATTCTCTTGTGTCCCCCGCTATGACGCTATGCCCACCATCTCCACTCGGTGACTTTTCTTCATTACTCACTTGACCCTTACTCTAATATCCACCCGAGCTACACCTTTCCCAATATAGACTTCAGTGACAAGAAGTGGTCACAGACTAGGTCACTCAAATAAAACAGAAACAAATAGGGAGCTTTAAGGCCAGTCGGGTAAAACGCTGAGTTTTGCCCCTAGTGCTGACTTTTGTGGAGGGAGTGTGGCCACCGTGCCTAACCCTTCAGCTGGCATGGTTATTTTTTCTCCACCAGAACATTTCTCTGCTGGCGTAGAGGTTGCTAAGCCTCATCTCAGGGCTGTGGCTCATAACAGCAGTGCCAAGTGGAGTTGTTATGTGACAAAATTTTTCTTTGAGAGACACAACACATCTTCTAGCCCAGACAGGGATTCCATGGCAGAACCAAGTACGGATATCACCAAGGCCCAGCTCTGTGAATCAAAGTGCTTTTTGGGGGTTACTTACAGGAATGTGGGTGAGGGGTTATTTGCCGGCTCAGAAATTACTCAAAGACAGTCATAGCAATGCCAACTCCAGCATGGGTGACAGCTCACAAAAACTGGGAACTGGGTACACTCTGCACAGCCTGTGGCAGGCAGCTCAACAAGTTGGCGAATGTCCTTTCCAAGTGACTCGGGTCTAACCCTTTCAGGAAGCTCAGCAGGTTATTGCTTTTCCCAAGCAGTTGATCTGGTCTCATAGTCTTTGCAGCTCAGCTTGTCTGGAAGTGGTGGGTGGGGGTGGGGAGGGACTCTCACCTTTTATTGCTTACTCTGGTGGGGAGGGGGCTAAATTAATCTGTTCACTTTCAGGGACTTCCTGAAGCTATTTTGAGTTGTTTACCTTCCTGCTTAAGGAGCTTCCCTGCCAGATGGAATGTTTGGATCTCTGAGAAAACTGTTAGACAACAGGAATAAGGGACCAGACTCTCTGATTTGAGGGCACTTTTCTTACCCTCTATATGTCTCACTTGACTATTACATGGAGATAAGGAGATTTCATATTCTGCTGCATAGAATTTTTGTAAAAGTTGCAATAGTTAATACAAAATAAACTTTTCCTTTAAGCTTCTTATATTGGAAATTCAACCCAGGGCTATATGCATGTTAAACCCACTATAGACTACGGAGTGACACCTCCAGTTCCCCCAAGTAATGTTTGAGTTACAAATAGGAGTGCTAGGTTCCCTGCATTATTATTGAACATAGCTTTTAGAGATTTTGTTAGCACCTAATATGTAATAACATGTAATTGTTGAAATCTTGCTCTTTTTTTTTAAAAGTCCTAGTTGAAATTCTGGAGGATTTGAACATCATATATTTCGGAGAACATGCTAGGTAGGAGCGTAACTGCATTCAAGTATAAAAGAATGCTGTCACTGAAGGTGTGATGTACTCAACAGGGCAGCTCACGCATCTCCTGCCCAAGTGACTTCCCTAACACCGTGAGGTCTGATTCACCTCTAATCCCCTCATTATTTATGGTTTGTTCTTCTCTGTTGATCCTGTCCTTTACAGTCGGATACTTCTGGAGACTACAGAGCCGTGCTCTTGAAGATCTGTGGAGGAGATGACTGAAGAAGATGGTCTCTAAAGGATACTGCCCTGATGATGGGCCTCAGCAATGCCAAAGGCTCTGCTTACAGCTCTCCTACAGTGTTCCAAAGTGTAAGCAAATGCAAGACCGCAACCTGTCTGCCTGCTAGGAATCATCATCATTTTGCAAGGGCAAAAGCAAACATGATTTTATAGTAGAGCATCTCATTCATAATGTAGAGGCTTATAATCTACAATTAAAGACCTACTAATGATTTTCTACTTTGCTCAGGAAGTTGGAATCAGTGTAGTCTAAATCAGGATACTAAAAACAGCTGCCTTTGTTAAACATAATTTGTGTGTTTGCTTTCAGCATCTACCAATACTGTGTTGCCTGGTGCTGACAAGTATCTTAAAATACATTTGTTGTAAATGCTGTTGCTGCTTTATTTATTATTTTATTGGTGTGGTCTAAAAAATAATAGAGAAATGGCATGGAGATGCACACCTACAATCCCAATGCTCAGGAGGTGGAGGCAGGGGCATGAATAATTTGGGATCATCCTAGTGAACATGCAGGAGATATAAAGAAGTCCATTAACAACTCAGTGTGGTTGAGGCTCAGGGCTGAGGAGAATGGTATCGTATGGATTTTTTGTCAGGGAAATGAGGTAATAATATTGGATTGGATACTGGCAGGAAAAACAGAAGGGTTGCTGGCAGATACTTCCAGCATTTCTCAGGAACCTGTGAAATGGATTTCCATCTGCCAAAAGAGCCACCTCCCTATCTTCCCTTCCTCTGGTGAATGAGACATCTGGCTTCCTGTTGTCCTCTGGTGTATACCCAAAACCAATGCTCACCTCCAGTTTCCTGGGTCCCTACCGGACAGCACCAGTTCACAGAATTCCCTTCACTACCCTGCAGCTACTGTCTTTTCCTTTATAACCCATGAGGTTTCCCCTATTTCTGCTCTTCTCTCCTTTCTAGAGAAAGGTAGCTCTGGCATGTGACAGTCTGCCTCTCTCCAAGACATAGTCATGGGTGCATTGGAATTTCCCAAAGGCCTCAAGGCCTCTGCTATTCTGTCTCTTAGATCTATAGTAAAAACCTTCCTCCCACCCATGGATTAGTCAGTCTGTCAGCTTCTCTGTGTCTGTGCTTAGGCCCCTTGATTTCAGCACCAGATGTAAGTGAGACTGGAGTAAAGAAATCCCCAAAATAGCTATTTCATGAATGGGGAGAAGGTTGTAAGAGAACAGCCAGACACATTTGTATGAATCCAGAACAGAGAAAGAAGCAGACCAGCCATGGCCAGGTCTAGAGAAGGGCGCATGAGAAATCATGGAGAACAAGCACCTGGACGGGGGGTGGGGGTGGGGGGCTACGAGCTGAAGCAGCCTGGGTGTTTAGGGTAGAGGGGGAGGTGAGAAGGGCCAGGATCCAGGATGTTAGTGTGGGCTTTGATGTAATAGGTACCTGACTAAGGACCAAAGGAGCCTGGAGTGCAGCGTGGGCTTTGATATGTAACCTCAAGTATATACCCTCTGTGGCAGGTTCCTGAGGAATGCTTGGACTTTATATCCACCAGATTGTTTTATAGTGAAATGAAGTATTTTAAGAGTCATTCATGGGGCTAGAGAGAGAGATGGTTCATCAGTGAAGAGTGCTTCTTGCTCTCCCAGTGAACCTGAATTCAGTCCCCAGCACCCCATGTTAGGCAGCTCACCACCTACAGGGGATCTAGTGTCCAAGGGCACCTGAGTTCATGTGAACACTGCCCCCCACATACACATAACTTAAAATAGTAAAAATAAAAAAAATACTAAAGAAAGGTATTCAGTAGAACATAACCCTCTGAAAATGTTATTTTAAGCCATGGCCAGTAAGTGGCTCATGCCTGCACTTACACAGCTACTAAGTTTAACTAATATATTTTTTAATTAAACTGTTTTCATATAATATATTTTGATCATTTTTACTTCCCTCAATTCTCTTCCCAGATGCACCACACTTTGCTACCCACCCAACTTTATGTTCTTTCTCTCTTTCACAAAACAAACCAAAGAACTCCCAAAAGTAAAAAAACAAACAAACAAAAAAAACACACACACACACAAAATCAAAAAAAAGAAAGAAAGAGAGAAAAAAGGAAAGGAAAGGAAAGAAAAAACAATGCCAAAACAAAATGAAACAAAAATTTGCCAAAAAAGGAAAGAAAACATTGACTTTGTTTTGTATTGGCCAACTACTCCTGGGCATGGGTGCTGCACTGAAGTGTGATTGACATTCACAGTGAGACTCCATTGAAGAAAACTGATTTGCCCTTTCCCAGCAGGTATCACTTGCAAGTAGCTTCTTGGTTCGGGGTGTATCTTAGGGTTTCTATTGCTGTGAAGAAACACCATGACCACGACATGTCTTACAAAGAAAGTATTTAATTTGGGCTGGCTTATAGTTTCAGAGGTTTAGTTCGTTGTCATCATGGTGGCGTGCAGGCAGACATGGTGCTGGAGGAGCTGAGAGTCCTACATCTGGATCCACAGGCAGCAAAAGCAGCTGTGTTCTGGGCATAGCTTGAACATATATGAGACCTCAAAGCCCGCTCCCACAGTGACACACTTCCTCCAACCAGGCCACACCTCCCAATAGTGCCACTCCCTATGGGCCAAGCATTCAAACACATGAGTCTAGGGGGGCCATTCCCAGTCGAACCACCACATTCCACTCCCTGGCCCCATAGACTTGTGGCCATATTATAATTCAAAAGCATTTAGTTCAACTTTAAAAGTCCCCATAGTCTATCCCGGTCTCAACAAAGTCTCTTCTGAGATTCATGTAATCTCTTAACTGTAATCCCCTATTTTAAAAAATGAAAAACAAATCACACACCTCCAACATAAAATGGTACAGGATGTTCATTACCAGTCCAAAATAGAGGAATTCCAAACTCTGCATTTCCATGTCTGATGTCAAAGCATTCTCCAGATCTCCAACTCCTTTCAGCTTGGTTGATTGCAACACCCTCCTTTGTCTCATCTGCCATATGGTGGCAGGGGTGAGCTTCTCACTGCCTGAGGCTGGTGGTAGAGCTGACCACCATATGGTGGTCATAAAAGCCAAAGAGCTGCCCCTGCCCCTCGCCAGCTGCAGCACTCGGTAGAGTGGTTCCTGCACCTGTTTGGGCAGCACCTTAGAGCTGGCCCTGGTGATGTAGGTATGTGTGAGCCAGATCTGAGGTCATGAAAGTAGGAGAACTGACCCCGCCCCTTGCCCCTTACTGCTTAGGGTAAACTAGCTGGGGCAAAGCTGAACTGAAAGCTAGAGAGCTCACCCTAATGGTTTAGACCAGGGAGAGTTGGTAGGTTGATCAACTCTGCAACTACCCAAACCCAGAACTAGGGCTATAAGTTGACTCACCCCAACATCCAGCCTATCTACGTTCTATTGGAGCATGTGAAGGAGCAGATCCTACAGACCCAAAGCTGCAGGATCTCCAAGGCACAGGGCAACGACAGCATAACCAATAGGAGTCACAGTGAGGGCCCAACATTGATGGTGTAGCAGAAACCAGAGACCTCGAACCAGACCAACGAGTCATTGCAATGAACACTTGAAAGTAAAGATATAGGGACTAGTGGGTACACTGAGTGAGTGACTCACAGTGTCACACTAAGATTCCAAGATGAGATTTTCTTTTTCTTTCTTTTCTCTTAAATTTTATTTTATTTTGAGGGGAAGGTTGCTAGGGCAGAGGGTGGATACTAAGGGATGAGGAGATGAATGGGATTGGAATGCATGATGTGAAAGACACAAAGAATAAATTAAAAATAATAAATAATAAAAAGGAATGTCTATCATTCCCTGTACATTGTCTAGTTGTCTCTGTCACTTATATAGTTTTTACTTTAATCATGAGATAATCATATAAAGCAGACATTATTATTACTTTGGAGGATGATTACTTAAATAGTTAAGACATTCTTGAGCTAGTCATATTGATGCTGGAGTTTGTTTGTGACAGAGCCTGGGCCCTGATAGCCCTAACAAGCTGGTTTTGGACACTTGTCCACATTAGTTAAAGAAATAGGTAATAATGAAAAACTGAAAAGTGGGGTTTATTCAATGTGGCAACATTCAAAAGAGGAAAAAGGGAAGATAGCAGGTGACCCCAACCCCATCAATAAATATTACATTGAGGTTTAAGTAGAGAGAAATAGGTATGCATAACTAAGAACCCTGGTCAGGGTATGGTCCTGACCACATTTGTCTAGGCTGTCATCTGTCCTGCAAGGGGGCCTGACAAGCTGACAATCTCTTTTCTAGAGACAGGCTACTTTTCTGTCTGGCATCACCTTTCTTTCTCTCAACCTGACTGGGGAATTCCTTGGGAGCCCATCATCTCCATAGTCTGATAGCCAAAGAGAAGGTAAAGTTGCCTCTGTGTAGAATGTCTTCACACCTGCTGGGACAGTTCCATGATCTTACCTTAAAAAGACAGAAGATGCTGTTACCCTACATCATACATTATTATGGTGTGTTAGTCAACAGTGGTAGTGCTCATTGCCTCCAGTTTCCACAAGGTGGCAGGTCAACTTCAAAGTCAAGCCTTTGGATTTGTGTCCAAATGGTAAAGCCTACTTGCTTGAGAATAGCTACTCCAAACAGGAACTACATGGAAACATGCTTCATGGAGTGTATGTCACTATACAGGCATCTTACCAACACTGTAATCTTTGTCAGTGGAGCATGTGGATTATTGAACGGTGTCCTTTGGTTTCCAGCATTCTTTGGGGCTCTGCATTTGTATAAAGGTATACTAACCCTGCCATGGATCACCTGCACCAGTGAGTATCAGTAAGTCAGCTCACTAATCTTGCAAGCTGTAAGGAGCCCTGGGTTTGTGATGTGGTGAACTTCAGAAGGCAGTAGACTCTGCTACAAAAAATGGCAAATGAAGACACCGGATAGAAGCTGTAAGGGCTGTAGAAGGAAATGTTTAGGTAATGCAATCCCGGATTTCCCTCTGTGTATCTTATGCTTGCATACCAATATCACTTGCATACCAATACTTGAATGCATTGGTTTTGGAATCAAATTGCCCTGGAATCAAATCTTGGCTTTCTGCTTCCTACAACAATGTGTAGTAAATCAGTCCATAATTGACAAATACCCCTCTCTTTTACAACCTGGTATTTTAGCTAGGAATAATAGTACTTACACAAAGACCTATGAATATTTAATGACATGAAGAAAATAAAGGATTCAGCTCCATAAAAATTAGTTAATGGGCTAGGGATGTGGCTCAGTTGGTAAGTGCTTACTCAGCATGCACAAGGCCCTGAGTATAGTCGCTAGTACTGTATAAATCAGCAGTAAATGTTCAGTAAACATCTGAAGAGAAAATAAATAAGGTTTATTTTAGTCCTATCTCCAA